CCGGTATTTACCTTCTCTTGTATTCAGATATATTGACAGAATATTTTAGAATCAACAAATACTTTGGAGACTTTTCTAAATTAGGGGACATATTATATTTGTTCAGAATCTTTTAACCATTTTTTAATAAAAATAGGCAAACTCCAGGACAATTTTCTTAAAATATATGGGCGCACACTTGGCAGCTACAGGAAATCTAAAGGATAGGTGTTTTCCCTAATTGTTCAGGCTTCTTTGGGATTTTTTTTCTCCTACTCCATTTTGAGAACAACTGCATCTTTTCCCCCAGTCCTGTCTTACCTGTTTCTCTTTGTGTGTCTCTCCTCCATCCTGGCCCCCACCCCCAATGATTAGCTACTCCTTCTCTTTAGTGAAACACATGCAAAATTGCCCATTTCCCCACTCTTTGCTTGCAGCCTTCTCAAATTTCTGGAGCCCAGAACAACTCAATAATGTGCAGTGTTCTTCCATTTTCCCACTCCTGATCTCCCTCTCCCCTGGAGGTCTCTTGAGATGCTTCAGAGTCTGCCTTTCCTACCACTTTCTCCTACCATTCTTTCTTCTCAGCCCTTTCCTTTTCTTCACCTCTGTTCTTTCAAAGATACACAATCATTCAAAATAAGGCCCTGTCGGACACCTCAAATCTCTTCTAGTCTGTGCAATCACCAGGAATTAAGCTCCACTTGAGAGTTTCTCCTTTTTATATAATCGTTGGGTTGCAGTGATCTCACAAAGCTAAATCCTCATAAATTATTTCACTACCATCAAATGAATTTCCACTAGCCTGAAAAAGGAGAGCTGGAAATTTGAAAATGCATTCAATTGAAGTTAATGGGACTTACTTCTAAAGATGCACAGTGTTGCATTTTTCTTAGGAAAAGCACCAAACTTTGCTGCATCTAGTTTCCATAACTAAACTTTCTACCATATGTGTTCATTCCCTCCAATTCCATGTCCACCACTTAGCACATAAAAAGTGGCATCCAACAGTTTTTGCATGTCTCTCTGATAAGCTGACCCAACACTCTTCACATGAATTCAGTAAATTAGCCATTGTCATTTCAAAACATCCCATAAGACAACCAAAACTCCAGACAGCATACAAGGAGAGAAAATGTATGGATTATGCAATGAAAATAATATAGGTAATACTCCATTTCTGATACACAGATCTGAAGAAAAATAATTATTACTGCACAATGAGCCTTGGAAGTTAAGTGGGTTTGTTAGCAGGCCTCCTCAACCTGGCTGAGAATACTGGGAACTGCTGTACCAAGCCAACACATCTGGGGTATACAGGATTGGAGAAGGCCTTGATAGGGTATTGTGATTGGACTGCTCAGACCCATCTTTTTGATCAGTGAGAATATTGCCTAGCCCTAGACACATTACCCAGGAAAATAATATGATGGAATATTTTCTGATATATCGATTTATTAATCAAATTTGAAAAAAAGAGTAAAAAGTGACTCTGGGCGGCATACAACAATCAGATAAAACCACAGATACAACAACCACTGGTATAAAAATATAAAAATCTACGTTAAAAAAGAAACAACACAAAAAGCAAATATACAAACCCCTAAGCGAAGAGAAATGGAAGCGGCCACCACAATGGAGACATCTAAGTATATCTCCAGTTCCCTGGGAGCCCTTGCCCTAGGCTCAACCAAGTCTTGAGGGCCTTCCAGAATGTCAAAAGGGATGGAGCTACTCTAATTTTGTACTTTTCGTTTCCTCCACACACAATCAGAGGCAAGTGGAACCCTGAAACTGTGCATTATCAAAGAACAGTCTGGGGAAGTACATGAAAGCATATTATTAAGATATGATTTCAAAGATAGGTGAGGCAAAAGATAAACAACCAAACATCTCAATACTATCATGGTTTGTAAACAAATGGCATGCCTTCCCTTGCCCATGTTAATTAAACCTAAGCTTAGGTAAGGACCTGAAGTTAAGCAAACTGTGATCAGTTCTTTTAGGGAATGATACAGCCACCCTTTCTTTTCCATAATAAGAACACTCCATTTGGGTATTCTTGTGGGACAAGGTGTGAGGATACTTCCTTCCTGGGACCTGCCATGGGGTGAAATACATCCAACTCACATGCTTCTCTGCATTGAAAATGATATACAAGAATTTGTAAATTTTTTAGCCCAGCTAAAAAGGACTTTCTTCCAAAGTGCTTGGATTCTCAAATTCTAGCAGTCCCGTGGTGAGTCAGGGCTCCTTTTCTTTTGAGTTAAGCAACCAGATTTTAGGAGGCCTATCCTGGAGAAATGCCAGCAATCCTTGAAATTTCTCCTTGCTGCATAAAATATTTTGAGTTTGTCTAAGCGAAAGTTCATAGCTTAAATTGACTTAGAACTGCTAAACCTGGAAGGAATGTGAAATACAAATGTCCAAAGCAACTCAAAATTACACCAAAATAACACGTTCATAGTAATGTAAGATGCAAATTCCATGTTACCTAATTGCTTTATGATTGATGTAAGTATATGAATGAGATTTGTACCCTGATGTCACAAAACACATGTTGTTACTTGTCTCCTCTTGTTCTTCTGTGAGCATCCCACTTCTTGCAAATGCTTACACCCCAATATCTATGCTTATTACTGACTGGAAACCTTTATGGACTTTTCATGTAAAAAGTGATTTATGGTTTTGATAATTAATAGGAGAGATTATAAAAATAAAATAAATATAACCATAGAATAAGAGGTAAACTTATGATTGTGCTTATAAACTGCTGTAAAAAAGATTAAAAGCTTTTTTTTTAACTTTTACTCCTTCCTTATGCATTTGGCTTTCTCTTTAATGTCTTTTTCTTATTTTATATTATGTTGTATTAGTTTTTATCTTCCTTTTAAAAAAATCTTAAATAAAAATTATTCTAAAAAAGTTACCAGGAGCACCCCCTCTCCCTCCCATATACATACTCTCCACTCTTAAGTACCATTTACAGCCCAAATAATTAGCAGTAACAAAAGCAGAAGAATTCAGATGTAGTACTTCAGAAGTGGATGTAAAAGGCACTTAACACAGATTTAAACACAAAAGCTTTAAAATCCATTCACAGTCATAGTTCTTAAGGACCAGGTCTGTCAAGAGCAATTCATCTTGAAGGCTCACTTTTATCGCTGAACTGGGGGTAGCGAGTACCAATTGTAGGGGATCAATGTTGGCAAAGGGTACATATTTATTTCTTGTTGAGGAGCTGACTGGCCACTGGAAAAAACAAAATGCTAGGGCTAAGGCCATGCTGCAAAAATGTTCTTATACAGTAGACTTTACCATCCTTGTGACAGTGGTGAAGAGGTTTGTCCTCCAAACTTGTGGGTTGGTTTTTGAACGTTTTCGTTACCGGCGAAATCTTCAGCAGAATTTAGAGGCTAAACCCCACTGAAGATGTTACCTAGCCTGATAACAAAATGTTTGCAAACCAACCCACAAGTTCAGACAACGGAACCTCCAGCAGTGGTTCTCAACCTTCCTAATGCCGCGACCCTTTAATACAGTTCCTCATGTTGTAGTGACCCCCAACTATAAAATTATTCCTAAAACCATCGAAAATATGTGTTTTCCGATGGTCTTAGGCGACCCGTGAAAGGGTTGTTGGACCCCCAAAGGGGTCGCGACCCACAGGTTGAGAACCACTGCTTTAGGGTGTGTGTCCCCCCTTAGCCAAAGATCTTTCTGATTAACTAGTTGCAAAGGTCCAAGGAAACGAACGATGTTCCTTGTTGGCTCAAGTCAAGTTGGCGCAGAGGAGAAAAGCGACCAGTAAGGAAAATACCTCAGAACGCAGAGGTTGGGGAACAATGGCTCAACTGGACCCAGCAAATGGATGTTTTTATTCCAACCCTTTTCTCACACACCCTCCCACACAGCCGATTTTTTTTTTTTTAGAAGTAGTTGGGATGCTCAGTCTCCCATTGGGGTGCTTTCGTTAGGCCGATTCGGGACATCCGGCAGAGCTCCTCAGGTGGCTTCCTGAGAGAGTCTTCAAATACCCCACGCAAAGAAAGCTCTGCCTGGAAACAAGTTTTGGCCCGCAAAAAAAGTTGCCCACCCGCGCGCGCCACTACACCCCCCTACCATAAAAGCTAACGGAAGGCCGAGAGGAACAAAACAAAAAACAAAACAACCCGAGGAGGAGAGGGGGGGGGGGGGGGCGGAAATCCCGAGGGGGGGATTCGGCGTCGAAATCCAACAGGTCGCTCCCAACTCCCCCCCCCGCCCTCAGTCAGGCGCGCCGCCCTCCACCTTCGCTCCGAGGAAGGGACTTCCCGGCTAACGGAGCATCATGTGCCGCAGAGACTCTTGGCGGGTGCAGAGAAACTTAGGCGTGGGGGGGGGGAAGGCGCCCCCTCCCACCCCTCAACTTTGTGGCGCCTCCCGGACACCCTTTCCAACCCAGGTCATCCTCTTTGGAGAGCCTGCAATGGAAGCCGAGCTGGAAAGAGGAGTCCTAAGGCGGACGGACCTTCGTCCGGGGGGGGCTGCAGTTTCAAGGGACGCCCTTGAAACGTGGGCGCCAACAGGACGAAAACGCAGCCCGGCCTGCCCTCTCGGGGGGGGGGGATCCATTCAGAACAGAGTGGAACTATTCTCCTGCTTCCGACACTACATTTCTACTGCTGCAGCCGATAATTGCATTGGCTCTTTTTAGTAAGCCTATCGTGTACCTTTAGAACCTGAGGGATAGTTGCCTCCATTCCCCCCCACCCCAAACTAGGAAAGTGAAAGATGTATCCTTTCAAAGATATCCAGGATGATAAAAGGCAATTTTATCATTATGAAAAGCATGTAGGCTAATCAAGTCCAACTCCCTACTAGGTATAGGTGGGGGGGGGGCGCTGCTCTTTTCACGGAGCGAAGGCTCGGAGGCGCCGCCTGCCTCCTTTTTTTCCCCCCCTTTTGCCCCCTCCTCCCCTCCCCTCCCCTCCCCGGCCAGCCCGAAGTTTTGCGCGCGGGAACTCGCCCGCCGAACTTGCCTGGATGGATGGATGGATGGATGGATGGGATGAGATGCTTGAGGGCTGAAGTGGCGCGCGGTCCTGGGTCGGTCTCTCCCCGAAAGCTGCCTCGTGCTTCCCGGCCGCTCGGCTGGCTCCGCTCCACCGCCTGCCCGGCTATCTTGCTCCCTTATCTCCCTCTCCTTTCCCTTTGTGTCTTCCAAACTAGTTTCAGCTGGTCACATGTGGACACCAACCTTGCCTGGCGCAGCGGCGGCCTCTGACGTCACGCCCAGCTGACAACAAAAGGTGCTTTGGGGAGGGGGGGGCGGAGAGCCCAAAGTTACTGCCGAGGCTCCGCCTCCCTCGTGGAGAAGCTCCAGAGACAAAAGGGGCGAAGCGGCCGGAGGGCGAGGCGAAGCTGGGTCCGGTGGCTGAAGAGCCCCCCCCCTCCTTCCAAGCTATGACCCGACCTCAATTCCCGCCCTGCCTTCTCTTTCTTTTCCTCGTGTGGTAACAATTCCTGAGAGGCTGGAAATTGCTCCCCCCCTCCCCGGGGCTTCTTCCGGCAGACCCCAAAAGTGCGAATAATTGCATTGGCTCTTTTTAGTAAGCCTATCGTGTACCTTTAGAACCTGAGGGATAGTTGCCTCCATTCCCCCCCACCCCAAACTAGGAAAGTGAAAGATGTATCCTTTTAAAGATATCCAGGATGATAAAAGGCAATTTTATCATTATGAAAAGCATGTAGGCTAATCAAGTCCAACTCCCTACTAGGTATAGGTGGGGGGGGGGGCGCTGCTCTTTTCACGGAGCGAAGGCTCGGAGGCGCCGCCTGCCTCCTTTTTTTCCCCCCCTTTTGCCCCCTCCTCCCCTCCCCTCCCCTCCCCGGCCAGCCCGAAGTTTTGCGCGCGGGAACTCGCCCGCCGAACTTGCCTGGATGGATGGATGGATGGATGGATGGATGGATGAGATGCTTGAGGGCTGAAGTGGCGCGCGGTCCTGGGTCGGTCTCTCCCCGGAAGGCTGCCTCGTGCTTCCCGGCCGCTCGGCTGGCTCCGCTCCACCGCCTGCCCGGCTATCTTGCTCCCTTATCTCCCTCTCCTTTCCCTTTGTGTCTTCCAAACTAGTTTCAGCTGGTCACATGTGGACACCAACCTTGCCTGGCGCAGCGGCGGCCTCTGACGTCACGCCCAGCTGACAACAAAAGGTGCTTTGGGGAGGGGGGGGCGGAGAGCCCAAAGTTACTGCCGAGGCTCCGCCTCCCTCGTGGAGAAGCTCCAGAGACAAAAGGGGCGAAGCGGCCGGAGGGCGAGGCGAAGCTGGGTCCGGTGGCTGAAGAGCCCCCCCCCTCCTTCCAAGCTATGACCCGACCTCAATTCCCGCCCTGCCTTCTCTTTCTTTTCCTCGTGTGGTAACAATTCCTGAGAGGCTGGAAATTGCTCCCCCCCCTCCCCGGGGCTTCTTCCGGCAGACCCCAAAAGTGCGATATTTTTTTCTCTCTCCCAAAGTGCGATGTATCGTTTTAGCTGTTGGGTATCTTTTGAACGCTTTTGTCTTCTTTACCGTCTGAAAAAGGCAGGAAGCTGCGAACATCGCACCGAGAAATGTTTTCCCTGGCTTCTTTTTTTTTTCCCCATTTTTTTTCAAATGACCTGCAGAAAAGTTTTGTACAACTTTCTTTTAAATTGAAAAAAAAGAAGTTGATTGTTCCGTAAGGTTCCGGAACTGCGATTGTTAATTAATTTGCTTTAGGGATACCGTATCAAACGTTCCTCCTGTGCAAAACATTAATATATGTTTGATTTAAAATGCCTCTTCCCCGCTTTTCCCTGGCGGAAAAGTAGAAGTCAAATGTGGGAGACTGCTCTGTGGTAGCTAAGAATTTTCAGTATCTTTTTGCTGCCATCTAAGAAATATCTGGATTTTTGCACTCCAGATCTGGTAGTTCTAACAAAGCAACCTAGAGGAGCATAGGTACAAATAGTAGAAAAGTTGCCAACAAGCATCTTCACATCTGATTTCCTAGCCCTCAGTTTTAGGAAGGAATTTGCATCTTACTCTGGCAGTTCATGGCAAATCTTCAAACGTATGAGAATTCTTGCATAGAATAACATAGAATAACCGGGTGGGGGTGGGTGGGAGGGTTAGGGTTGAAGGTCATCTAGTCCAATCCCCTGCTCAAGCAGAAAACCCTATACCATTTTTGACACATGACTGTCCAGTCTCTTCTTGAAAGCTTCCAGTGATGAAGCTCCCGCAACTTCTGAAGGCAACTTCTGTTCCATTGGTTGATCATTCTCTTTTTTGTAATTGAATTATAATTTAAGTGATGTTATTACTTGGTGGTGTTATAAGCAAAACCTTGAGCCTGATGTGAACTACATTCCTCCATTATACTGTTCATATATGGATTGTTCCTGAGATTATAAAACTGTACAACAATTTACATTCCTGCATCTACATGCTTTGTGTGCATCACTTATTCAGTTTAAATAATTAAACTATCTTCTCTTTATGGCTTGCAATAAGTGGGAATTGATAAAACGTTTAATGATGGCAATTCAAATATCATATTCGACTATATTTTGTGCTAATTCAGTTTAGAACATAATCTTTCAGTTATAAAGACCAGCCATGGTTTAGGAGCTATTTATTTTCAGAGACTTAAAATGGGAAGTATTTAGAAGGCTGAATTTTGAACGTTTATCAATTCCCACTTTTATCAATACCAATTCCCAAAGGGCCGTCCTACAGCTGATCAGTGTTAAAAGCAAACAAATGAGTCGGGTCGTAAGTGCGAGGACCTTCCAGAAATGACTGACCAGCTAGCCACGCCCACCTAGTCACATGACCTCCAAGCCACACCCACAAAATAAGCCACGCCCACAGAACCGGTAGTAAAAAAATTTAGACCCCACCCCTGGTGTGTGTGTTTGTGTGTGAGAGAGAGCATTTTCACATCCTTTAAATCATTACTCTTGCAGTGAAAAATCAAACATCATAAACATTTAGCACAAAATTATCAAATCTAGTGTTTCTCCTGGGGAATTCTGGAAGTTGAAGTCTACACAACTTAAAGTTCACAAGATACGCTAATAGAATCAGTATACTGTGAGCTGAATAATTTAATGTTGGAAGGTGGGAGGGATTCCTAATCACTCTACAGTATAACTAAGCTAGTTTTAACTAGGTTTCTGTGGAGCCCCTGGATCCTGTAAGATGTTGAGATGAATAAAACATGGTATTTTTTATCTTTGCACACCATATAATACTAGCACTTGCAGTTTTGCCATTGTTATAAACATTGTCAAATTGTTAGAAGTACATTGCACTGTAAGTATTTTTTCCATTTTATGCAGAAATTTCCTTGATCTGAAAATGATTACAAAGGTTCTTCTAGGATAAAAAAAACTTGAAAAGGATTGATCTGAACCATGCACAATTTTATTGGCAGACATTTTGTTAGATTAGACCAAAGAACCTTAACAATAGAAGGGAGTACTTTGGCACTGAGACTGTTTACTTATGAATGAAATATGTAAAGGTTCTGATTTATGTAAGATCTTTTTTCTCATCTTCATGTTGAAAATTTACCTTTTGAACTTTTCAATTGTATATTTGGAAAGGAGCATGTAGGCTAATCAAGTCCAACTCCCTACTAGGTAGGGATAGGACTCCAAACAGCTAACTCGATTTGAATATGTCCAGTGAAGTGGATATGTTTACTTCTTATAGTACTTGGTTCTGCTTCCAAACTGCTTAACTAACATTCAACCTGAATCTGCCTTCCTAATGTTTCAATCATTTTTAAGGTCCTGAGCAATTCAGATGAAGTCTGTTTTTTTTTATGTGTGGATTTATTTTTTTTAAATGTATCCTGTCTATTTTATACAACTCAAAGAGAGTATACATAATGGTTCCACCTTCTATTTTTCCAACAACAACCCGTCTGTGAGGTGGTTTGGGCTGAGAGCAAGTGACTGGCCCAAAGTCACTATTGTCTTTAATGCCTAAAGGAAGGATGGAAGGATTAGAACTTGCAATTTTCTGATTTCCAACCCAGCACCATTCCCAGCTGCTGCATTAAACCAGCTCTTTAATCTTATCTTCACAGGACTTGAAAACTGCTCTGTTTTCCCTCAGTTGTCTTTCTGGAGGGTAAACATACCCAGTTGTATCACTCTTGATAAGTTTTTGTTTCTTGTCCCTCAAGCATTGTTGTTCCTCTGCTTTGCAGCTGTTCTAATTAAACTTTTCATAAGTGTGCCCAGAATTGGACATAATAACCAAGGTGGAGTCTGAACCATTCAGAACAGAGTGGAACTATTCTCCTGATTACGAAACTACATTTCTACTGCTGCAGCCATAGCAGTAGCTCTTTGGCATTGGCTCTTTTTAGTAAGCCTATTGTGTACTTTTAGAAGCTGAGGGATAGTTGCCTCCATTCCCCCCACCCCAAACTAGGAAAGTGAAAGATATATCCTTTTAAAGATATCCAGGATGATAAAAGGCAATTTTATCATTATGAAAAAGAAAGTGTTTCAAGACTTGGGAAAACCACCTTTATAGCTTCGTTGTGTGAAAGAAGAGACATTCAGGACTGATGACAGGAATGTTGAAATAGGATACTTTTTGGCTCTGCTAGAATGGTAGATAGACCTAAGGAGAGGGGCTTTAAAAAAAAAACCAATCTGGAGTTAAATCCTGCAAAGTTTAAAGAAAATAGGATACATACTAACAATATGTCTTACTTTAGATAACATCTGTACAGATGTGCTATTTGTTCAGTGCAATAATTATAGTGAGCTTTGGTTTCTGTATCCTGGATATGAAAAAGGAGAGCTCTGATCTCTGTTTCTCTCCCAAGCCTATTGTGCCGTTCGTTTACGGTAACTTTTCCAGCCTTAATAAAGCCGCTGGCAAGCTGCCCTTCTGTGCTGATTAGCTTGGCTTGGGTGGTTCCATCTCTCTCCCTTCAATACTAATTTATTCACCATCCCCCTCCCTTTAGTTTTGCCCTAAACCTCAAAAGTCTCCCTGGCACAATTTCACAAACCCTGCGGTAAGCCTTAGAGACGCAATGTCATTTTTGAAGACTGATACAGTTTTCCCTAGAGAATGTTTGCTATCATCCTATGAGAACAGAATTCCATCCTCCCAGTAAATTGACCACAGAGAAAATAGAAAACCTGATGGCAATTTGGACATCTTCACTTAGTTAAAGTGGTTTCCCCCTTAGTATTACAATATTTAGTTCACTCATAGCACACAATGCACTCTTCCTTTCTTTGCCTGTAGCTAAACAGTGGTTTAGAATTAGATTCCTTTATGATGATGTTGCTTGCAATAAATCTTGGGCTGCTGAGTTCCATGTATACTTGGTTATAAGAGATGGAGCAAAAAGGAACCTCTTCTGGCTAGATAGCAGGGATAGTAAGACTTCTTCCTGCTCCTTGCAGTATACCTGTTTATTCATTCTAATCAAAGTAATAATTTCCCACTGGGTTCATTTTGGGAACCAGGAAGGATGAGTCCCCTGAATCCTGTGCATAGATTGATTAGCATATCAGCAGGAGGCAGGAGCTTAGAGGCTTTGAGAGCAACCCAAGAAATGAAGGAAGAATCCAGTGACACCTGCAGAGGTGGTAGAGCTTGGAAAAACTTAGTGACAGCACTGGCTTTGAACCCCTCCATAATGTAGCAGCGTTGAAGTCCATTCAGAAACCCTCCCTCCTCAGTAGATTAGGCACGCAGTGCCAACTGCTGGGGTTCTCTGGCAATGTGAAAGAAGACCCTTCCCAATAGGAAGGAATGCTGGGAGACAGCCTGGAAAGCAAGTTCTCACAGTCACAGGCAAACAACCCAATACAAATCGGCCTGTTATCCTAACTAGAAACAAATAGAAATGATTGATTTTTGCTCCATCCCCACCAAAATGGCTTCTAGCTGTTATGTGGGAGGAAAAGGCACAAGAATTTGAAGCTTGATTTCTGTTTAAAATAGGCTTGCATTTCAAATTCTTTCATAATGGCTTCCTTCGCTCTATTACCATAAATCTACTCATTAGAAGCCCCTGAAAGTTTGATGGAGCTGACTAGGGTGCCAGTTACTGTCAAAGCAAGCAAAGAATACAGGAAAAGGTAGTAAGATTGTTGGTTTCCAGAATCTTTCTCTCCCCATGACAGGCGAGACATTTTACAACTGTATGATTTGGGGAGGGGGCACAAGAATGCTTCAGAAACTGAAGGGGATGAGGTCAGGGGTGGGTTCTACTGACCTTTATTACCGGTTCGCAGTGGGGCGTGCGCACGTGCTCGCTTTGCTTGCTCTTCTGCGCACGCGCAGAAGCGTTTTGATGATGTCAGGGTCTCCTGAACAGAGCCTCCTGCTGGTTTTCCTGCCTTTTCTATAGAACCGGTGCGAACCAGGGGCAACCCCCCCCACTGGATGAGGTACAGTAACCACACCACCCTTGGTTACTTTGGACACCTAGTGACATTACCTGAAGTACTGAGGTTGTAAGAGACATCCAAGACATCCAAGACATCCAAGAAATTCCTAGCACATGCATTTCCAGGGCTTAGGGAAGAACAAATCTAGTTGTGTACAAGGAACAAGTTACATGGACTTTTCTGCCAGCCCTTACTAGTTAGTAAATGAGCACCAACTTCCATCTGTTCTTTAGGAGCCAATATTCTTTTTTCAAATATGATTGGTCCCTGACACCTACAGTGTTACACACATCGTAACATCAAATGGTAAAGGTTGAACAAAATATCAATGAAAAATATGTGCTGTCTTTCAGCTTCCCCAGATTGTTGAATGTGTATTGATACAATGGCACATTCTAAAATGTCTATTAAGTATATATAAGGTCAGTAGCATGTGCAAACTTTCTAGCACTTCAGAATATCTGCCCCCCCCCCCCGCCCCCAATGCTAAACCGAGTGCAAGACTGGAGAAGGGGAAAAGGGGAGGGGTCAGGGTGGCAGATCTTTAAAGCCACAGCATCTGTATTTGATCAGACTTTTAAGATGGAATGTGCAGCTATGGAAAAGCAAGCCTTTTGATGAGATAGCCATGTCTAGCACACTGCTTTAAAGGGACACCTCAAATTAACATCAGGAGTTTTTCTCAGACTAGTCATTTGCATATGGATTTCAGGGTATTTATCTGCCTACAAAGAGGAAAATCAAGAGGAAACGATGTATCACTCCCCTCCCTATTTTGAGTCAGCAGGTGAAAATGGAATACTGTAGAATTAAAAGCAGACCTCAACTTTGAAGTCACCAATTCTTTAGTAGATAGGAACAGGCGGTTTATGGACATTGTAGGGCAAATGCCCAAAAGGGTTGCTTTAGGGTTTCCAAATGAAACATTGCTGATTAAAAATTCCAAGATATATTATGAACAAGTATGAAGTCTGTGATGAATGAAAAGGAAAGCCTGGTTTATGAATGCAAGGCTCTTTTTGAGGCCTGCACCCCTGCCAGAATAAAATTGATGTTATAGCCTTCTGGGAGTTTCTAGGCACAGAACTAATCACCTCAGTTAAAAAGAGACTGACCCCCTCCCTCAGTTTCGAGTGTTGAATTGCAGTTGTAATCTGAAGTAAATTTATACCGAAATAAGTCCTACTGAACCACACATGATTTATTCAAGGAAAAAAAATAGTTAGGACTTGTATGTATAGGATGCAAGTATTGGACGCAAGCAGAGATATTCCAAGATGTCAACAAGATTGAAGATTTTAAAGATATTTTAAAAATGCATTCTTGATCGTAGAAAAACAAATCTTGGTGGAACTTTTTCCCTGCTGAAGGGAAAACATTTTAAATGTTTTAAAACATTTGTTCTTTCTCTTTGTTAGATAACATCTAACAAAGGGAGGGCATTTCACAAGCCATTCTAGCACCCCAAATCAGGTGGCAAAAAAGTAATTGGCGGGGTAATTTGAGGCACAGCATAACTGATTTTGTTCATTTTACACCAGCTTTTATTAATTGTCCACAAAATTGGAAAAGAGGCTAGGGAATTCCAGTTTTCCTGCTGAATATACCACCACATTACTCAAACCAACCCCTGTAACCTTTAGAGAACGAAATAATAATAAAAAAATAATGTATTTCACTAATTAAAAAAAAGGGGTGGGGCGGTGTCTGTCTGACCCTGACCATATGCCAACACCTATCTGTGAGGATGGCAACACTGAAAAGGGAATGCTTTCAGGCTGATGGTCTGTTCCTAACAGCAACAGTATTTTTGCATAAGAAGGAATCTGAACAGATTGCTGGGTCAGATGAGAGAGAGAGAGATGCGTGTATATATACCACAGTTATTTAAAGAAAAACTGAAAATTTGATTTGAATAATTATACATGACTTTTATGTATATGAATGAAGTTTTTAGGGCAGAAAATGAGCAGAAGTTGTAAACCTGCATTTCTGAGTCTGGTTAAATAAATGGTGTTATAAAATCTCCCTTTATGACCGAGGGGGAGTTACTTCAACTGAAAAGGTTTTCCATTCCCCGTTCTTGAAATCCAGTTCAGTGTTTATATGACTGTTCTTCAGAATCCCAGGTCTACCTGAAGGTCACGAAACACCCCTGCCTCTGTTGAGTTAGTACAAAACTCCATGTCACAATATATTAGTTTTCAAAGATACACCAACACAGTTGCATTTCCTGAAACATCTCTTTTTCCTTCAGGAAGTCTTCTTGAAGTTCTACTATTCAGTATGTTAAATAACCAAGCACGCATACATTTTAATGTTGGATTATTTGTTGGAACAGCTAGCTACCAGCACCTGTAATTCAGCACTGGTGCTGGAATGGAAGCAAACAAACAAACAAAAAAAGTCACTGTCATGTCACTTTGTTTTCTTTTTACACTATTTGAAACATTAGCAAAAAAAAAATACCTGCTAAGAGCCCATTTCATCCATCTTTTGTGAAGGCAAAAATTGAGTAGACAGGCAGCTAAATTCGTTCTGTGGTTTTCATCTATGCTTAAAAGTCATTTCCAACACGTATGGGGTTAGCTACTCCTTTTAAGGGAATAAAGGAATTTTTTTTTATTATAAACACCATGTAGGAGAAAGGGATGTGCTTTGAAAAAAAAAATAAGAGAGGGGAAGTAAAATGTTCATCCTTCTATTTTAATGGCAAAACTCAACAAAACATTTAAACTGTCAAAGAGAAAGTCAGAAGCACAAGCTTCCAATGTAGTTACATTAAAAAAACAAAAACAAACCAAACCAAAAACAATCAAACCAAAAGTATCCTACTAGTCCGAATCTAGGAAATGGGAATCAGGTATTGCACAGGGGGAAAAACACTCTCAAACACACTCCTTCCCCCTTGGAGTAGAACAGGCCAAGGTTTGAATTGCACAGCAACTCAGCTTAGGACACACACATGCACAAACAAACATTTAGAGATGAGGAAACAGTGTGCTTTTGAACTACCTGTACAAAGTTTAAGAAGACATATAAAAGGGAGGAAGAGAAGATAGCATACCTATGGGGCTATAAAACACATTTAGGGAGCCAGCTTGTTTATAGAGAGGAATGTTTACAATTTTAAAAATCCAGAGCATGAGTCCTCCTAGTTTAGAGCAAAGCAATGAGGCATTCTCTTCAATTGACCTACAACATAGCCATGTCATGCAGGATGGGAAGTCGCCATTATTGGCACAGCAGTGGGCTGTACAAGGCCAAAGACCTAGCTGATCCAACCACTTGGACTTGATATGGTGCAGCTGTGAGTCAGCACCACCCTCAGATGCCCAAATGTTTTGGCTGTTCTACCACATCTGTGGAGAGGAAAGGAGGGGTGATGTCAAAGAGATGACAAGTGTTTCTGATTTAGAACAATTAACATCTTGCCTGGGACCTGTGCTCAGAGTGCAGTCTGCTTTGTGGTATTATCCTTTGCTTAGTGCCATGTTTAAAAGACAGGGACACAACCAGAGGGAAAAAGCTAGTTTCCAGAGTGGGCTCAAATGGACACTTGGCCATTGTTTCAAGTCTCAGGCGCTATCAGAGATATTTAGCATCTCAATCTTAAAAGCATTAGATACAGAAGGCAGGCAAGCTCAGCCTTGAAAGAGGACAAGCTTCCAGTCAGATATATTCTTACATTTCTGAGTGACATGTAAGAAATTCTTGACTCTAATCTCATTGAGCCTCCTAAAATTAGGAGAATCATGACTTTAAAGCCTGTTCTTTCTAAATTCAAACTCTTGCATCTATGGAAGATAATCCCTGGTAAATTACTGCTGATTTCACCAGCAGTTTGCTTCTCCTGCTCTTTTAAGATGCTCGGTTTAAACATATTTTGTGCACAAAACTGTCTTCTATGGGTCCTTACATTTGTGATCCAGTGTCCTCAGAAAGCCATCTATTTTTCAAGTTTCACAACAGAACCCATAGCCTCAATGAGATTTAAGAATTCTTGCCCACACTGGAGATGTAAATTATTAAAAAAAAACCTTTGGTCCAGTTTCAGTCCACTCTTCTTGACCAAGTAGAGCACTGAAATTATTTAATCTGAACTGTTCAGGTAGAACAGTATGTTTATATGTTCATTTGCACGACCGCTAGATTTCATATAGTCCCTGTTTTAGCGAATCAGTTGGGTATCAATTCAATCTACACGCAGGCTGACTATATAGCACATTCTCTGAACATTAAGTGTTGGGAAGTTTTGGGTTGCTTTGCTTTAGAAAACCCCCCAAAACGGGACAGGTAGTGATGGGAGACTTGGGTAAACAAAACATCTCAGGATGACAATTAGGATCTGCCTCCAATTGTGCCCATAGGACTTGCACATTGTTAAGTCTGTGCACCAAAATATTATAAATTGATGTGGGTAGCCTGTGTCTATGCATGAGTCTAGGAACCAATTCCAGAGACCATTCTTTTTTAGGCAAGAAGTCAGATGACTGTACAGGAACTTTTCCATTCATTACTACTACTGTCAGTACAAGTCCCTGGGTAAAAATGTGCCATTAACGCTAGCTGATAGGAATAGTTCCCTTTATATTGATGCATTTTATAGTTACTCCTATCTCCTTAAAACGAAAAGGTAATTTCCGTACTGATAATGCTTTGTCCTTAGGTATGGCAAGTGCCAATGGCCTTTTCGGATGAGATTTCTCTCCCCTTTTCAGCAAACCTCAAGCTTTCCAAACCTATTTCGAATATGCTTACAACTGGCTGCTATTTCCTAAATCGGTGAATGCAAAAAGCAGAAAAAGGTAATATATGAGAACAGAAAGAGAGAGAAAAGATGGGGGGGAAAGAAACCTGGAGAGGAGGCACTTTGCTCAAAACATTTAGTGCGGCAGTCTCAAAACTCAGCTTGCAGCAGCTTAAATTGGAAGGAGTGGGATTTGACCTGGTGTTCCCTGTTTTTGCAAGATATATAAACACCCTCTACAGCATGGGCTTTGCAATACAGGGTCAACATAGTAAAGGGAATAAAAGAAAGGGAGGAAGAGGGATATATTGTGCTGAGAGGATGCAAACCAAGCCCATAGCTTGCTTTGGATACTTGGATTGCTTGCCAATGTGACTGTCACCCAGAGTTTACACAAGTAATTGAGTACTACAGTGCCTGAATAACAAGAAAGGGCTATAGCAAATAAACACAGGTCTCTTCTTGTATGCCTTCTCAAAAATTGTGCTAGCAAATTTCCAGTATAGAATATACCAAGACAACGGGCATTGCTACCATATTGAGAAAGACAATACCCACTGCTGGGAAATCAGCAGAATCAGTGGAATGAAGCTTCAGAGGATCTAAAAGGGGTTGCAGATGCTGCCTTTAGGGAGATAACACGAAGTTGCACAATGGTGGCATGGGGATGGAGCAGATATCTGAAATGGAGCTCCACCAATAGCTAGAAGGGAGTATTTTTCCTGCTTTGAGAGCAGCAGCGACGAGGGTCAAGAAAACTTGGAAGCAGATAGAAATGAAATATCAGGCAGAGGTATCCATCCATGGAATGTGATGGCGGTGAGGGATGTGGCAGTCAGCATTGTTCAATACCCACTACATAAATAAATAACAGCACCGTGGCCAAGCCTAAACAGAAAACTCTGGATCCTCTGTGTGATGGACATTCAAGAAAAGGCTAGCCAGGTTCCCGCGCTACTCGGCTTCTCTGCCCCCCAGGAAACGATGAAGGCATGCTGAGTGCTACACGGCTGTTTCCTGATCCTCCCGCTGGATCATCTGATAGTGCTGTCGATTTTCGAGGTAGGCAGCCAGGTCGGGATCGTTTGCCTTCTCAGCTCTGTGCTTGGGTGTGTCTCCCTGTAAGAAGATGAAACAAAAGGGGAGACTGGAGCCCAAAACTCTTTGATACCACAGAATTTCGCTCCCCTCTTCATTTTTGAATTCCTCAACTCTGTTGTGATCCATTAGATGTTTGTCCCATCTAATGGTTGGCAATTTGAGGGGTTAACAGTCTCATCTAGGATTTTAAAACAAACACATTTGGGTACGAATGTGGAAAACGTATTCTTAAAAAACCATAGATTTGTAAATCGTATTTACATAGCTGTAGGCATTACATCATTTATAAACGTGTCCAAGAACGTTATAATTTAATTTTAATTTCGGGCTCCATGTAACTCCCACAGACAGAAATATCAGATCATTTGGCTGCTGCTAGGTCTTGCTTTGTCTCATAAACAAATAAATAGATAAGCGCATGCGCGCGCGCACACACACACACACACACTATTTGTACACTGGGGCAAGAGACAAATTAATGCAAAAAAGGTATATTTCTCCCCCTTTTTGTATTACAGATGTACATGTACAATGACAAAAAATAATAATGCCTCTGTGACCTTCCACATCAACTTTGAACTCTGTGAACTGTGCATACTATTTCCCATAAATAAGGCTATCTATATTAGATGCACCTACTAGTTATCCTGAGTAATCTGTATTCACATGCAGTCCTGGAAAGAAAAGGGCCCCAAATGTAGGGCTGTAGCTACATACACAGATTCCAGTCTTGCCTCAAGAGATGTGGGAAAAAGCCGTAAGACTGGAAGAGCATGCCTGGATGGGAAGCTTTGGGGTTTCTGGAAGATTAGCAACTGACAGCTAAATAAGTCCTCAAGGGCCTGTTTGTATACCTACTCTGTTCCCCTTACTGGATATTAAGAGGGGGAGCCTGTGTTTCCATATTCTCACACTGCAAGAGTGTAAACAGGGAAAGTGAGAAATTTTGACCTAAGCTTGTTTCTTAACTTCATCGCTTGTCTACTCATTCTGAGAAAGTAAGAAGGAGCGTGGGGGTGCTGGCTGGGTGAGGTATATGCCTGGGGAGGGCCCTGAAATATCATCCTCACAGCCTTACTAGTTCTCCTGAATCCCCAAGGAAGCTCATATTTCACGAACGTACTGCAGCCATCTGGACTGTGTCCGCTAATGAACTCCTGCACTCCATAAAAACTAAATCTGTTAACAGTTTTCAGCCATGACTCCCCTTTCTTCCCCCATAGCACAAACTCTCCCTCCCTCTCATTCACAACCCCCACACTTCACCAGTACTGAACAAACACACTGCTGAGAAAGGCCAAGGAAAACTGGCTAGCTGCCGCCTGTACTGAAAGTGGGAGAGAATAAGTCTCCCACTGTGGCCCTCACCTCCTAGCAGAAAGCAAGCAAGCAAGCAAGCAAGCAAGCAAGCAAGCAAGCAAGCAAGCAAGGAAAGGAAGGAAGGAAGGAAGGAAGGAAGGAAGGAAGGAAGGAAGGAAGGAAGAAGGAAGGAAGGAAGGAAGGAAGAAGGAATCCAATTAATCAAAATGATTTTCAGAGATAATGGCTAGTTGTATCTCAGTGGAGTATACTGGGCTACAGACATGCAGGGCCTCCTTTACAAGCAGCCACAGATAAATATAGCTCCCACCGACCAGTACGCTCCCAGAGAGAGGGACTCCTCAGGGTGCCATCAGCCAGGCAATGTCGGCTGGCGACCCCCAGGGGGAGGGCCTTCTCTGTGGCAGCTCCTGCCCTCTGGAACGATTTACCCCCGGAGATAAGAAGGATATCGGATCTCCGGGTCTTTCGCCGTGCCCTGAAAACTTTTCTTTTCCATCAAGCAGGGCTGGCGTGAAACCCCCCCCCCCCATTTTAGTTTTTTAGCTTTTAATCTGTCAATGGGTTTTAATTCGAATTGTTTTAAATTTGGGCCAAAGTATGTAATTCTTTTAATAATTTTAAATTTTGTATTGGTATGTATTTTAGTTCTGGCTGTGCACCGCCCTGAGTCCACTAGGAGAAGGGCGGTATACAAATTGAAAAAAATAAATAATAAATAAATAGATATAGATGAGATAAAGGATAAGGAATAATGGATGGAAACTGACCAAGGAGAGATTCAACCTAGAAATGAGGAGGAACTTTCTGACAGTGAGAAGAACAATCAACCAATGGAACAGAAGTTGCCTTCGGAAGTTGTGGGAGCTTCATCACTTGAGACTTTCAAGAAGAGGTTGGACTGCCATTTGTCAGAGGTGGTGTAGGACCTCCTGCTTGGGCGGTGGGTTGGACTGGATAATCTATAAGGTCCCTTCCAACTCTGTTAATCTGATCTGATTAATCTGATTAAGTTCTTAGCTTCACTTTCCTCCCCTTATTTGCAGAATAAGAGTTTGAAGGGACCTTGAAAGTCTTTTACAGGCAGTCTTCGACTACAACACCCAGCTGGTATAGGGGTCTCAAGCAGGAGATCCTATACCATTTCAGACAAATGGCTTTCCAATCTCTTCTTACAAACTTCCAGAGCTCCAGGCAAGTCATTCCACTGATTAATTGTTCTGACTCAAGAAAGTACTCCCTATTTCTAGGTTGGATCTCTCCTTGATCAGTTTGCACCCATTGCTTCTTGTCCTGCCTTCAGGTGCTTTGGAGAATAGACTGACCCCCTGCAAATTCCTATCCAAGTGAAAGACAAAGCTAGAAGCAAAGCACACGCATGAAGTCATATACCCATGATAGCGAACCTGTGGCACGCATAGCCATATCAGTGGGCATGAGAGCTCAACTCTGGTGTGTGCTGATTTTCGGGCCTTTGGAGTAGGGAAACAGGCTGTTTCCTGCCTCCAGAGGGTCTGGGGGGTGGTGGGGAAGGCCCATTTTTCTCTCTCACCTGGCTCCAGAGCCTCTCTATGAGTTTGGGGAGGGCAAAAACAGCCTTCCCCATTCTGCCCGGAAGCCCTCCAGAGACCAGAAATGGTGTTTCCCAACTTCTGGTTGGACAGGAAGTGATGTTTTTTGCTGTCCCCAGCTTCCAGAGCCTCTCTAGGAGTCTCTGGAGGCTGGGGAGAGCAAAAAACATCACTTCCTGTCCAACCAGAAGTTGGGAAACGGGCTGTTTCTGGCCTCTGGAGGGCTTCTGGGGGTGGGGGGTGGGGAAGGCTGTTTTTGACCTCCCCAGACTCATAAGAGGCTCTGGAGCCAGGTGAGAGAGAAAAATGGGCCTATCAGGCTATTGCGTGCCAGGAGTGGAGGGGGGGGAAGCGGGGGTCGCACGCACATGCACGGGGGCGGGGCGCATAAAATTATGGGTGTGGGTACGTGCATGTGTGACACCCCCCCTCCTGGCATGCGATGGCAAAAAGATTAGCCATCACTGTCATATAGAGTTTCCACACACAGGTACAACCCAGAGGCTGCTCCTTCATAATCACATTATTTAGCATCTTTAATCACTACACATTTTGTTCCATTCAATTGCCTATTTTCTCTTGCAACAAGAATAGCAGCAGAGAGATCCCCCCCCCACCCTTAAATGCACAGAAACTGAACCTGAAATCAAGTCTCCAAGGCATTTCCCCCAGCTGCTGGAGATTGTGATCCAGAATGTTTCATCCAGTTCACTATTTTGTTTAAGGAACAGGGAACAAATTGCATTTGATGCATGCTGGCATTTATTCAGAAAGAAGGTTTGTACACTCTCATAGCACAGTTTACTCTCTCCCCGCATGGGTAACATTAAACCATGTTACAGCATGAGCACTCAACAGTTGGCAGAAAGTTAGGAAGACACATTGAAATGTATGGAACATTGGCTCTAGCTGTGTTGCCCTCAGGTCTTGTTCCAAATGCAGAAAGCTATATTAAGAAAATCACAGATTCAGTAGTGTCTCCTGTCAAGAACTCAAGCCCCCTTCAGTGCAGGCACCAAGGCAAGGCATTTACAACTGTGAGGAAGAAAAGGGACAATCTTACTTTGCAAACTTTTTTGCATAGCGCAATCTCACATGGACCCTTTTCCATTTAAAATGGTTGCCCATTCCACCTCCAACTCCGGCAACTGTTGTTTGGTCACATTACCATGTCCATGTCACTGATGAAAGGTTAGAGCTGCCAGAACTGGCTACAAAAATCTACATGCGGTTGGCAAAATGTATTATTGCTTGTTTGAAATGCTCCAATGCTTTTATAGTCCATTAGGATCTATTCTAGCTAAATGAACTCATGGGTCCCGAGAAACTTTGCAAAAATGAGACACTATGCGTTTTCATTGGGTATGACTACTATTCAGCTTCAAATCACAACTGCCATTGGGCATAAAGACAATTCATCAGAAAATACATATGATAGGTCAGCCACTAGGAGTTTCGGTGCCCAAGAATATCTTCAATTATTTCTTTAAGTCCCTCCCCTTAGATATTAAAATAGAGCTATGACTGTGGATCTCTATATTTGAAGATTCTGCAGCTCTCTGATATTAAAAGTGATTACATTTTTTAGCAACAGCTTGACAATGCTGATGAGAGTCAGAAAAGGTTACAGTGAGGCAATTTTGCAATGAAGTTAGGAAAAGGAAAAGGGGGAATGAGGTGTTCTGGATTTACATTTAGAGAAAGAAACCCCCTGCAACATTGGCAGCTTAAGAGATCAGACAAAACCATTTGCCAAGCAGCAAATGGAGCAGACCACTTCCAGATCTATCTTCATCTAATACACAGTCTACTTTTCCTACTGAGTATAATTCATTTCCTTCCTGGCTAGCACCTTTTCAAGATCCATTTGATCTATTCAATCTGGTATAACTCCCAAGTGGTGATGGGATTTACAGGTTCCAGAATTCTTATCTAACATGAATTCCAGTTCTGACTTTTGGGGGTGGGGGGGGGAGTCTGGTTTATACATTTAACACAATTCTCAAGTGTTGGTAACAGTGTGTTAGCGGCATGTTTACAATTCCCCAGCCTGAAAAATTAATTAGCTAGCGGGATAGGAAATTACCTAGAGTCATCCTTCCTTGTGGATATACTACTCTGCCACATAAAAAGATTTGTTATTGATTCTGAACTCAGAAATGGAACACAGACATTTCACTCCCCTTCACGTATTCCCAATGCTCCATTGGGAAGAAGAAATTCTTACCTGCAAATCTGTTTTCATCAGTGAAGCTCCAGCCTCCACTATGTAATGGCAGATGGTCCGCTGATGAAGCGCTGCAGCCTGATGCAAACTCGTCTCGCCACTAACAGGAAGATCAAAATGGAGAACTGGGATCAAAAGTACATACCCTCCTCTGCTATGTTCCAAAAGGTAAACAATACATAAAGGTCCAACCCAGCCTTGGCTGGAACCAGGTTCTTGTATGTTAATGTTTGCATGGCCTTAGTAAGACATGGGGATCAGTTCTTACATCACCTAGGAAGAAAGGCTGAAGGACAGACAACAAAGAGGGAAAGTCCTCCTAACAAGTCAGACTTAGCATTTTTTTTTTTTTAATGCTACTTGGAGAAAACAGCAACTTGAGGGTGAATGTGGCATCAAGAAAGAAAGTTATGCAGGAACAACTGACTCTGGAGATTTCTGGTCTACTGAAGTTCTTCTGTAATTCCCTTGCACCAGGATTCTCTGATGACCTGCAGGCTGCCCACCTTTTCTACAAGTGGAACTGCTGGCAGGAAAATAAAGCTTCCACTGCCTCTGCAAATAGATCCACAAACACAAATCCTCTTTCAAAGTCAGTACTAAGCAGCAGAGAAAGCTAGAATTCTAGAGGACAGGGATGAGGAAAAAGAGTAACCTTCTACTTGCTTTTTTTTTTAAAGACATAAGAATTTATGCTTACAACACAATCTATTCAGTATGACAGCTCTCAAAGCCATGATCCCAAAGGACAGACTGCAAGGTTGAAGTATCCTTCCCCACATGCAAGACTGTCTAGAGTCAATTGTTGGGATGGGTGGCCGTACAAATTTGAATGAATGAATAAATGAACGAACACATGAATACATGAATACACATGTGCCCATATATAGAGAGCTGGGTCAACTGGGAAAAAAAAACCCAGTGTACAAGTTCCCTTGTGATTTTCTGCCACCATAACTTAGAATGGACTTACTTCTCTTCTTCTGCCACATCCAAAATTTCTGCAGGAGCTGGAATAGAGAAAGAGAGAGAGAGAGAAAATAAGATCAATCTGCATATGATCCAGTGTGCCACTATTTTCCCCTTCTATTATAGATGGACAATGTATTTTCTTCCCACTATAGAGAAAGTGGGATAAGCATTTCTCAAACCATTCTGTGAAATGCACAATATTCACCTTCTAATACTTAGTATTCTAAATATGCTTTATACTGTATATTTTTATTTATTTAATTATATCCCACCTTTTCTACTTTTGTAAGTAACCCAACGTACCTAATACACATTCTTCCTTCTATTTTCCTCCAAGCTGACTTGGGCTGAGAGAGAGAGTGACTGCTCCAAAGTCACCCATCTGGCTTTTGTGCCTAAGGCAGGACCAGAACTCGCTATGTCCTGGTTTCTAGCCTGATGCTTTAATCACTAGACTGGCTCTTTTCACAAAATCTATGGTTCTCATATTGCCATATTGATTTACACAGATTGATTGATTCTCTCACAAAACAAGAATATCAGAAAGCTGCTTTGTTTGCCTATCTGCTCAGAGAAAAAGATAACAATCAACTGGAATAGTGAAGGGCACTGGATAAATCTACAGGTAACTGGGCAGTGACATTACTAGTTGGCTTTTTGATAGACAAGTGTTTTGTGACTGGGCAGGTAACCAGTTTCTAAGTGACATGCCTCAATTAATGTTTGAAAAGTATCTGTAATATGCTCTCAAGGCTGAAGTTAGGATAGCGTTACACACAGCCATACAACACAGTAAGAATCCAAAATAAAAATAGTATGTTTAAATCTATTGCTCTTGTTAATTAGTGTCTTACACTGATGACTGATTAAAACAATCACAGCTAAGAAGGTCATCCATTTTTCTGACCTGACTTACCGTTTTCAATTATGTATTTCACAATCTCCTTACTCCCTGATTTGACAGCATGGTGAAGGACAGTTTGGCCTGTGGGATCACGCATCATCAAGTCTTTGCCAGCCCGGTGCAATTCTTTGAACTAGAGCAGACACAGAATCACTTGAAATCAGCCACAATACAGACATTATTGAGGTAAGCCTCAATCAAAGCAATTTACACAAAAGTTTAAAACAAGCAGCAACAAAAAGAGATTACTGGAAAAAGAAGTTAACAGTTAATCACTTGGATTGTGGTATGAGCCAGAAGCAATTAAAAAGGCCTTTCCAGCAAAAGGATGTTTCAGTCTCCCATTCAAAAGAGAGTATTACTGGATGTAATCAGAGGCAGCTGATCTGATATATTTAGAGAATCTGTGAGATCGTGTTCTTCTCTGCATTCACTGTTTCACATAAAAGAGTACATTTGCAGCCAAATCCTATTTCTGTGCTGGTAACAGTGAGGGACATCTGGCAGGTGGACTTAACCAGGTGCTACATCATCCATATCAAAGGCATTGCTTTATCATCCAAGAGAGTCAAATGGCCAGGTCTCTAATGCACTATTCACTGGTTGCTAAATCTGGGTTAACTAAAAACAATTTTCTTTCACATACTATGCTAGGACGAACAATATTATGGTGAAATGCCTTAGTTATACACCATGCTAAGATAATGGCTGCCATCCTGTAACACACTGAACCACCATCTAACTCACTTCACCCTGAAATAAGGTAGTATGCAAGCCCAATCATAATAATAGGATTGATTCTGATGCACCAGAACTACAAAGCCCTATTCTGAACAATAAAAAGAATATTACCAAAATGGAATATGAAAAATATTGTTGCAGAACATAAAAAGCACAGACGTTCATCCATGTGATGAACTGAACATCCTACTCATAAATTATAAGGGTCCAAAGAGTTAATGCTCTATAAATAGTAATTACTCAGTTTCATCACAATTCTTCCTGTCTTCTTATCCTCTATCTTCTTAGAGGATAAGAACACAATTAAGAGACATTAATGGAGTAATCTGATGGGCTTTTATGTCTCTTTGTTGTAGCAAGCACAGTCTTAACTTATAGTTGGCTCAAGGAACACATCCTAAATCTCCCTGTAATACAATGTAAGAAAGGCTGTATTATAGCTACTTCTGACACTGAATATAAAACACTGTGCCAAATTGCCCTGAATTCTGAAAAAATAGATACAAAGAGGACATCCAACATATGATTTCTAGCAGAGATCATTACGGACAAGTAGCTGGAATTAGGATTTCCATCTGAATTCAGCAGGATTAGTTAGTACTGCTGAAGTAGCTTGGTCTAGTGGTTAGGGCAGCAGGCTAGAAAACAGGGGACTGTGAGTTCTAGTCTTGCCTTAAACATAAAACTAGCTGAATAACCTTGGATCAGTCACCCTTGCTTAGCCCTAGGAAGCAGGAAACGGCAAACCAGTTCCAAAATCTTGCCAAGAACATTGTAGGGACTTGTCCATGAAGTTGCCAGGAGTCAAAACTAACACGAAAGCATACCCATCCACACATGAAGTAGAAAATGCTGTGTTCTGACACTCTTAATTGTACTGTAAATGAATACTGGACAGGTATGATGGATCCATACAACTGGAATTCATTCGAGGTGTTAGAAGTCTGTCATCCTAACTGAAAGTTTTAAGTTGTAACTTGTCTAAATACCTTTACTGGAAAATTAATCGCAATTCTCTTCATACCTTCTAGGTGTCACAATACAGCTCTGACAGAAACAGGAGGCCCTCAGTGAGCCTATGAGGAATTCACTGGATGAAAGGGCCACCTGGCTTAAAGGAAATCTGCACTGCAGGTGAAGGATAACAAGCAAGCTGAAATCAACAAGTCAAGTGGCACCACTAAGAGATTGGGAAGAGATTGAGAAGTAATGCAAATAGAACTGTTACATACAACCCTAAATGAAACCACTATGGATGATCTTGCTGTGGCATAGGCACTATATTCTTTTCAACATTGCAGCTTGATTTTAGCCCATCAGAGCTGTTACCTTGGAGAAATCATTATTCTTGGCAGCATCTATCAAAGCATCATCTGTAAAAGAAGAGACAGCAGAGTGCAAAATGAAGTAGTTGACAAAAAGATGGCAAGACACGTGAGGAAGACAAATGCCAAAGAAACAGCAACTGGAGGTGGGGAGGGGGCTGACAATAATTCTGCTTAGGGACAGAAATTGGCTAATGAACACAGAGATAATTACCCAGAGAACCTCATAAAATTGCTTGTGACTTTTGCGTACTGCTATGTTCATTAGGATAACTCTTACTTCCATCAATATCAGACAAGTTGCAACCCAAAACGTCTATAGAGTTTTTAATCAGGAGGGGGAAGCCTGCGATTGTTATTCTTATTCAGAAGTAAGAAGAGAATCCTAGTGTGAAAAGGGAGAGAAAAGGCACAGCTTTTTTCTTCTTGTGTGGATATTCTGAATTGGATCCCTCACTATTCTTGCAATATATATATATTTAATATACATACATATATATATGTGTGCGTGTGTGTGTAATATATATATATTACACACACACACCAATTAAGTGAGTGGGAGCTTCATTCCTATGGAAACTTATAGACAGAGGATTTGCTCACAGCAGGAAGAAGAAAGTGACGGGAATCCTTGTTTTAGGGTCCCCAATTTACATGTTAAAAATAATCAACAAAATTTGGTTTTATGCATGTAAACTTTTCTGACATGGAATGTAAGCTCCATCAGTGTGTCTGGAAGAGATAAGGCCCCCGAAACTTAGATGCAAAATATATGTTGCTGTGGAGGCAAGATAATTTATTCAAATTCACCATTTCCTGAGTAAATGTTCTATTGTTTACATTTCAATAGAAGATGATGGCTTGAACTGTAGAGTCCTTGGTGCTCTCTGAGCTTGTTTGTTTGCTTGCAGATCCTGTTTATTACACAACTACAGTGGTAATGACAGTTCCTTGACTAGGATATTGTTTTCTACTTGAAATAGTGGGGAGAAAACAGCACCCCCACCAACACTGGCAGGGTAAGTTACTGTATATAAACAGGGAGCAAACCCCACATTCACTAGCACTGATGATGTTACCTCCTCAGATAATGGAATGTCTGTAAACAAAACAACCAAGCTCAGAGAGCACCAAGGGCTTCACTGTTTACACTTCACTGCTCTTAACTACTCCTTTTTATAGACATAGATATAGTATACAGGATGATGCATGAAACTTGTGAAATTCGTTGATCTTCACAGGTTGCTGGTGTTCTGTTTTCTTTTTCCTGCAACTCCAAATCTCACACCTAATGCACGGCTCAGATGTAAAGACCTTAATCCTGCCGCTTTTCTTTGCATCCCATGCTGCTACAGGTGGAAGATTAACTTTGTGTCGCTGTGACATTTTCTCCCAAATGTTGTGAGTTGAGGAAGGCAGTTTGCAAAGCCAATGCTTCTTGCCTTGAAAACAATCATCCAAGCAGAATTCCCCAAGTAGGGTTCCACCCACTTTACATTCCTGTTGTAGCAGGGATGATTAAAACTTTAATTTTCCTGCATTAGAACACATTGCACAGTGCTCTACCCTGGCTCCTGCTTGTATCTTTGTAGTTCAGTATATCTAAACATCACCTACAGATGCTCAAAGTAAAACTCCACTGCAAGCTGCACTAAAACACTAAAACACTTTTCAAATCTGGACATGTCCCAATGTGAGATTTCACCTTCATGTGCAAGCACATTGGTGATCAAATTTCTTTTCCTAAGTGTGAATATTCAAGTAAATATAACTGGACCAGTGGTGGGTTGCTACGGGTTCGCCCCAGTTCGGGCGAACTGGTAGCAGCGGCGGCAGGAGGCTCCACCCACCTGCCTGGATGTCATCAAATACGATCTGCGCATGTGCAGAAGCTTTTGCACAGAAGTGACACAGAAGCGGTGCTCGGGCAAGCGAAGCATACCAGTAGCAAAGGTAAATGAAACCCACCCCTGAACTGAACACAGCACTGATGCTTCTCACTTCCGAAGTTTGTATCAGTTATGCTAAAAAAAGTTAGAAACAAATTATACTGCAAGGCCATAAAGTGAACCCAAGGTCTCACCTTTAAGGGTCTGGCTGCTGTCCACTGCTGAGCTGGAAGAATAAAACAAGAAAGATTCAAAGCTAAAAAACAAGTCCTTCCTATTCAAATCCCTCCCTTCCATAAGAATTCCTAGTCTATTTGCCTAGAATCAAAGACACTGAATAGGAAGATCCTACAGATTGGTAATTCTGATTTGTGCTATTTAAAGAATTAAGTCATTTGAAGTATGAAATAGCTGATCCAAGACGTTTTTAGGAATTCACATCCTCTCATTCTGGCTTTGTTCACCCAGTTTGAACCACTGTGCCATTCTATTAAAATTAAAATAGATTATCCAATATTCCAATTATTGAGGCTATGGGTATATGACCTTGGCACAGTTGTTGTTGCCCAGGCAAAAGGGACTAATGTACTTTTTAAAGACCAGAACATTCAGATAACCTTTGGAAGTGGCTCAGGCTGATACTTCTGCTATTCACTGAACTACAAGAATGAGGAGGAGGAAGTACAGCACAACCAGACTTGCAAAATGTTGTTAGTGCAGTCAATCTCAATAGAAGTTGTTGGAGCCATCCTGTGGAGTTGATTTCATGGCCTGGTATTTTTAATGGAGCTGACAAATAAATCCTCCTATCCCAATTCAAAGATTCATTCCCCATTTTGTATAAAACCTTAAGCTATTTTTCCTTGGGGTCCTTCCCTTAATCTAGCCTGGTCTTTCTTACCTCTAGTCCCCAAGCAGACAGCCTCACCTGGAGACTGGTGTAGATGGTGGTGAAATTGGGAGAGGAAGGTGTTGCTTTGTAGGTGTTGAGGGAACATCAACAAGATCAGGCATGGCAGATGTGCCCACTGTTTGAGTGCGCACCAGTTCTGGGTCTAACACAAACAACTCATCCTGGGAGATCTCTGTTACATAATTAAGATGTTCCTGGAAATATACACATAAATTATTTTAGGGACAGAATTAATTTTTCTACCATTATTAATTAGTGAGGACCTCAATCAATATCATTCGATAATATGCAGCAAACCACTGCAATTGTTTCTTTCTATATAAATACATAAAAAAAAAACAGAAAAACATCTAGCTGCAGATAATAACTTTCTGAAAAAGAATTCATTCAGTTAGTCCTGTAGTACTGAATATTTTAAAAACAAATAAAAACGAAGATGTATGCCAAAAATCATATGTTATTCCATAAAATGCATGAAAATATACTTTTTATTTTTTTATTTATTGGAGAAGCTCATTGTCCACTGTCTTTGAACAACAAAGTAAAGCTCACCTGGGCACGGTCTATTCTATAAAAACGATCTGCTGTGGTTGCTGTAAAAGAAATACATAAGTTACTTGGTATTTATACAGAATCCCAGCAAGCTATTCAGTGATTTCATTCATTTTCTCAATAATTTAACTGACATTGTCTACCTATTTCCAGATATACCTGCATAGCTGCAAGCCCTGGAATTTGCCTTTCCAAAGAGACAATTGGAAGATGTTGAATTCTGAGCCGAAGGCTGTATTCCATAATTAAATGCTGAACACAATAAGCCTGACATATAGCCTTGGCAATGTTAGTCACTTTGATAAAACATGATTTAATGCATTAAGGTAAACAGATTAAATCATTCTTTTATTTTTAGTCATGCTTGAGTACAAATAAAAAAACCAGCTTCATTAAAATGTGCTTTCTTTTTCCTTGATGCATGTTTGCGTATGCCGAATACAGTGAGTTTTGACAAAATCTCTCTCATTAATTTAAAAATATACTCGGTGTGACACATGTGCGTGTCACGCTGAATATATTGTTAAAACTCACTTTCATATCTTGACATTTAAACTGATAGGTTATTAACGTCACTATCTGCTAATCAATGAAAGAATAATTAAAATTAAATAAAATCCATCAAGTGCCAGGGATTCATGTTAGCAGGAGGTACTCCCATCTTTGACAGCTTAAGTGACATAAAAATTTCCATGAGGAATAAAGCAAGAACAGGCTGCTCCTAAATGCTTTATCATACCATGTTATTCTCCATCAAGATCAGTGGATGCATACCCCCCACCCAGTGGTGAAATCCAATTTTTTTTACTACAGGTTCTGTGGGCGTGGCAGGGGAAGGATTCTGCAAAATCTCCATTCCCACCCCACTCTGGAGCCAGCCAGAGGTGGAATATGCCGGTTGTCCGAACTGCTCAAAATTTCTGCTACTAGTTCTCCAGAATCTGTCAGAACCTGCTGGATTTCACCCCTTCCCCCACCCCCAGTTAGGATGATGTAAGGGAACTCAGGCAAGCATTTTGTGCTTTTTTGTATAGGCTTTCGGAATATGACTGCAACTAGGTAAATAATTTGCTGCAGTCTAATTTAAAAAGTCTATGATTTTCCAATTCTTTTCCAGAAGATTCCTGACTCATTTCATCTATTCCCAAAGGCTAAGGTAGATTAGCAAGTAGATAGGATACAAGCCATGATACTAAGACAATTCCTTTTCTGACAATGCTTCTGGGACATGTTAGAAAGCTTCTCTTCTGCCTTCCAATAACAGGGGAATTTGCTGTCTGCTACTCAAAAGGCATGGCTGGGTTATAAAGAAAATATAGAGGTATCCAGTTTCCCAGTTTGGGGCCTTCTGATATATTGAACTTCCAATGCATCCAAAGACCAGAAGGAAGTGGCTGAGCTGTATGGAAGTCGAGGGGAAGCAGGGATGAAATTCACCCGGTTCTATTCGGCTTGGGCAAACCGGTAGCGGCAGCTGCGGGAGACTCCGCCCATCTGTGCGGTCATCATGACATAGCTTTTTTGCTACGATTTTAAGCCTCTGTACATTTGCGAAGCGGTAGGGAAGGTAAGTGAATTTCACCCCTGAGGAAGTGCTGACACCCAACAGATCAGAATCACTAATCCTCTTGTCTTGCACACATAGCTCTGTACCAAGGCTCCAGGCATAAGAGAGCGTTCAGCTAGGGAATTATAGCCCAAGTGACTAAATTTTGTGGACTTAAAGATCTTTCCTTACCACTTTTGGATTTTCAGAATTCTGTGGACAAGGGGAGGTTGCTATGGCTGGACCCTAGAAAGACTGGAGAATTCTCTTTGGGAATAGAGCAGAAGTGATGGGGAAGGGAGGGGAGCTCACGACACAAGCCAGAGCAGATTAGAAGAGTGAAAGAGACTCGTTTATCCTGCCCCGGGGAGAGATTTACAGTCGCAGAGCTGTTGATGAAGGCCAGTAATTCAACCATTTTAATGAGCCTGTGTTGCCCCTGAATACCACTCCAGCTTTTTTTTCCATTGACACATTTTCCTCTATTTGGAACATGCTGCTGGGAAACTGGCAGAAAAAGAGAAAACAATCTGCAGCAACAATATCTGGGAACAGGATCCTAATATAGGGGCACAAAAGAGATGGCCTTTTCTCACTGGGATCCCATAATCAAATGTGTCCATGTGCCTGTATGTTGCGCATCAGGGTTGGAGATTTCATTTCTTTATTTGGGAACAAGATTACACAATGATGTACATTTGGGAGAACTATTTTCTCTACTCCTTGTGAATAAGGGATGGATTGCAGTGAACAAGAGGCTAATAACTGAGCTACTGACACCGATAGGACATTAGTATCCTACAGTTCCTTGAGGGAGTAGAAATAGAGAAAAGATTTTAAAAACCCAGAGAAAAGGGATGGGAGGGAGATGGGCAGTTAAGAAGTATGAAAAACACACAAACAAATAAATGGAATCAGGAGGAAAGCAGATGAAGTCAGCGAAATGAATTACTCTTTCTTTCTCTCTTACACACCTTGATTAGAAGGAAGAATACAGAATAAAGTTCAATCTACCAGCATTATATAAAAAGAGAGGAGAGAAAAAGAGAGAAAGGAGAGGAGTAGGAGAAAGGGAAGTGGAGAAGAGGAGAGAGGAGAGGAAAAGGGAGGAGGGGGAAGTAGAGAGGGGAGAGGAGAAGGAAAGAGGAAAGGAGAAGGAAGCGGAGGGGAGAAGGGAAGGGAGGGAAGAAGAAGGAAAGACGGAATGAGATGGATTGTTGTTGTACAACTGAAAATGTGATGTATGTATTATAAAGGAAAATGTACAATAAAAACACTTTTTAAAAAAGAAAAGAACCTGCAGTGACATGAATCTCTCCCAGTGTCCTACTCAGTCTTGATTGTGGCCTGTCCGTTTTTACTTTCTGCACTCCCCACTATCTATCCTGGTTAAATCTCACTGACTCTCTCATGTTGTCCACATCTATTAGATCTCTTAAGAGCTTTGTTCAATTGCCTACTATAACCTTACTGAAGGGAGGCCCAGAGGGACCTGCTGCATCAACAGACTCCAAAGACCATGCAAGCTGCTCCCTGTGTGTTTGGGAACTTATTCCGGCTTTGCTACAGGGGGACAAAAGCTCCTATTGTCTGAGCCTGTGGGAGAGTCTCAGAGTCTTGCTTAAACTAAAACCTTAAAAAGAGCTGAAGCGTGCTACTAAAAGTGAAAAGTGCAGCTGAAAGCTTTAGGAAGGCCTTCAGGTAGGGGGCAAATTGCAGCTGGGAAAGAAGTTGGAACAAAACTGTGTTTGTAAACAAGTTTCTGCTGCCCTGCGGAGCACTTGGGAATTTTTGCAAAACACAGCTGGTTGGGTCACAGGCCCAGCAAGGGGGAAAAAAAATAATGAAAACAATTGTTATTACTTTGCCTTCTCTTGTTACTCCCCCCGCCCCCCAAAAAGCTATAATTGAATTTGATGCACAAAAGGTAAATTTCAATGCAGCATATTCATTGGTATTCACTGTTTCTGGGAATCCTTAGATAAATTGTGGTGAGACTGCTTTATCTTCCTCAACCTTTTCCTGTAGAGCCATCTGCTGGCCAAGGAGAAAATCTAATTCAGGCATCATCATTCCGTCCAACAGGGACAAATGGCAACCGATGCCAATGGTATAAACTCCACCCTAAAATTTTGGATAAGTCAAAAAGGTTCTGTAATTGGATAAAAGTGAAGCTTGTTCAAGACATTTCCTTGAAGTCAAGGTTCTATTTTTCTGAAACACAAAAAGCCTTCTTATATATGCTCTTAATCCATCTAAATGGACCCCAATATTTATATTGTAAATAACACTGTTGTATAATGACTGCTATTAATTCTTTTGTTCAGGCATAAGTGTGCTCTCTCTAATCTAGAGATGTCAAGAACTGAACCAAGGACATTCTACAAACAAAGCACAGGTTCTATTGCCTTTCCCTAACTTGGAGTTTAAATGAATGGCTTTATTCCAACCTAGTGATCTAGAACTCAAATGATTTAAGTGAATTGCAATGACAGAGTACAGTGAATTATGGCTTCTGTCTAATGACAGCAATGAGCTAGAAAACTTACAGGGCCAAACATAATAGTACCCTGTTTCCCTGAAAATAAGACCCAATCGGAAAATAAATCCTAGCATGATTTTTCAGGATGCTCGTAATATAAACCCTACCCCCCAAATAAACCCCAAATAAATAAGACTGTCAGCCAGATGGGTGCATTTAGTACCGTATTTCCCCGCAAATTAGACCTAAACAGAAAATAAGCCCTAATGCGTCTTTTGGAGCAAAAATTAATATAAGATCCGGTCTTATTTTCAGGGAAACACGGTTGATTATTTTATGTTTGTAGATATCTAAGTATTTTACAGAATACTTATAAAGAGATTTTGAAGCTGCCTCCTGCTTTGATGGTGCTACTTTACTGTCCATTGGAGGGAAAGAGAGGTGGGGAAAGGGTGAGTGGACCCAGAATATCTATTAAGCACCTGTTCATGTTTCATGTTGCTCTCTAATCGATTAAACCAAATTCAGGGCTACCATATCTGAACTGCAAAAATCACTTGATTGTTTCAGAGATAAAGTTTGCTGTATGTTCTTGTCACCACTATGGATTATTGCATAGTCCAAATGTAGGAGCTATGTTATCACTAAAAACAAATGTTAAATTTAACTACACTTATTCCTCCACCAGCATGGGAAGGGCTTAGAAGGAGAAACAAAATTAGGCAGGATACCTAATACCATAAAAAGACATAAATAAAATCTATAATCTCTTGCTAGTGAAAGAGGCTAAATTGAATTTAGCAGAGAAAAGTGAAACATTACTTGCTTAAAACTATAAAAAGCACTATGAGTATACTGTAATTGTACTTTTGTTTTCTACTCATGCAAAAGAATTTGGAATAGTATTCTGCTGCAAACCAAAGAAGAGTCAGCATGGTGATGTTTCTGCAAAAAAATAACCAAGGCAGTTTTAAGCTGATCAAACAGAAATTAATACCCAAGTCATGGGACATAATTATTCAGAGAGGATGATAAAGATGATCAGAAGACAAGAAACAGATTGAAAATGTGGTTAGATTTAACCTTAAAACCAGACAATGGAGGGATATATGATAGGACATCACATGGAAGTAAAAACCAGCTTTCTCTCCTGCCAGAGTTTAGGACATGGAATGAGAAATTTAAGTTACAGTAAGAAAGATTGAGTTATCAGGTTAAAAAAAAATCAGAAAGGCTCCCCTTTAAAAATTCAGTTCCAGCAGAGGACAGTCAGCTGTTTGCCTCGGATGATTTATTTTTGATTCTTGCAGGAGTATTGCACTTAATACTCCTGCAAGAATCAAAAATTAAATCATCCCAGGCACTCAATAACTAACATGCCCCCCTCCAACTCAAATGTTTCAGTGATCCCTGCATTAAATTCTAAAGAGGTTCTTTTATCTTGTGTGTATAAAAAAAAAAAAAAAAAAAAAAAAAAAAAAAAGGACAGGAAAGGCAATGAAGAACAAAAGAAATTTCCAAAGGTGCAGCAGAATGCTATTATAATTTCCATGTGAAAGAAAATAAAATCCTATTATAGAAACATTTTCTACCACAGCACCAGTGTTAGCGGCAAGACTTTCCCAAGATGGTAACATGGGAAATCTTTGATGCAACAGTTCCCACATATTGATTCTAAAGTTTACGGACACTGAAATAACCACAGACATATATACTCACAGTCTAGGAAGCACCATTTGGGGGAGAGCTTCTGGCATGACAATGTCTTTGGTTTGGCTCCATCTCCCTCCTGGGTCAAAATAAATGAACAATAAAAAAATCAATTGCCCTGTGTTCCTATTTCATCTAGGCTTACTGTCTCTTCTGTTTTCTTTGTCTTATCTATCTAACCCAGGTAGACTCAGTGCATGCATGTTAACAAATAGTACTAGCATACATACTAGAGCATAAAGTTGTACAGCTCAACAAACTTGCCCCAAATATCACTGAACAGGTACTGATGCAAACTAATCACACATTATGGAAGCAACAGAAGGAAAAAAAGGACTCACAGATAAGAAGAGAGAAAAAGATACACACCTGAGGAAATAGATTCTGAATAGTGGAAGTGCAAGAAGGGAAGTCCTGTGGAGAGGGAAGGAGCTGAGTTACCATGACAGTAATGAAGAACTTCATTAGAGATCCAGTTTTGTGTAGTGGTTAAGGTATCAAATTAGAAACTGGGAGACTTTTGAGTTCTAGTCCCATCTTAGGCACAAAACCAGCTGGGTGACTTTGAACCAGTCACACCCTCTCAGCCTTAGGAAGGAGGCAATGACAAAACACTTCTGAAATGTTGACGGCACCCCCCAAATCCCCCCTCCCCATAGACTCTCACTGAGATTTGCAGGTGTATGTCATACCTATGATGAACCTCTGTGGATCGACTGCCTCAAATCATAAGGAGACTTTGAAGACAGGAACTGACAGTAGAACTCAAAGTGCTCAAAAATACCATCCCAGTAATTCAAGGACTACACTATCAGCCTCTATCATATGTTGCCACTAAATGAACCAATTTCATAACTCTTCCTTTCTATAATAGTCCCAACTATCTGAAGAAACTGAGAGATCTAAGGTTTCAGGACTCTTCTAGCCTAAACATCTGCATTCTTCATTATCTGGTTGATATTCAAGTACTAGACAAAGAATGAATCCAGAATGTAAGAAAGAGAGAGCAGAAAGGAAAGGGGTTAGAAATAAACAAATAGCCATTTTATTTTATGTTTTTCTGTAAATCTAGTTTCAAGAACAACCTTCCAGTGTCCCAGATGAATGGCAATTAGTTGAGGTGGATAGGAAAATTACTTGAAGCCACCAAGTAAGAGAAAGCTGCTCTTTCTAGAAAGGGAGGCTCTACCATACATTCAAGCTGTAAACTAAAAGAGGAAAACAGCAGAATGATTCTGTTGAAAGAGAATTTGGAATATTGCTTATAAAAATTTTCTGATTTTAAATTCAAACTTCTCTTAGACATAAAGGCAGGTCTATGGTGGGTTTTGTAGATTAGGGCAGAAAAAGGAAGACAAATTAACATTCTGAAATCTCTCCCAACTGAAGTTCTCTCTAGAGTTGAGAATTTACTCATTGTGGAAAGCATTTGACTCAAGTAGGATTACAACTTCATTTGGAATGTTTTTTTGAGGATATTAAATGATATAAGAATAAATATACTTATTTTCCCCTATCCATCCTCTTGAGTAGTTAGCTCTCTAGATTATAATAGGACTATAATCTAGATTATCTCTAGATTATCTCTTTATTGATAATGGATATTTACATATCTCCTATCAATTAAGTTCTTTGGGTAGTTCAGATGGATTAAATTATTATGCTGCATGCCCTAGCTGGATTGCTTTCTTTCTTTTACATATAATTCTTATTAAGGATTTTGATCGCGATAGTTAAAACTAATACAAACTAAGCTTAAAGGAAGAAAATAATAACAAAGAATGAAAAGTACAAGGAAAAAATAAGGAGAAGAAAAATACAAAGAAATGACTTCCAACCTTTACTACAATATAGACAACTTAACCCCCCTATAAGGTTACAGGTACTTATCTCTTCATCCCATATCTCATCTCTTACTTATAAGCAAATGCATATAAATATCAATTTTTCAATGTTGGTGATGGCAAAAAGTCTTTAAAGGGTTGCCAGAATTTTGCAAATAAATGTCTTATTTTAACTTTGAACAAATACACCAACTTTAAATCCCCCCATTTAATTCTAACAGTCTTATTCTTGAATTCATTCAAAGGATTCTATTTCTCTTTCTAATTCTTTATTCCATTGCACAGACTTCTTCAAGGATTTAACAAACTTATTTTGTAGATCCAGTAAGAAAACATTTTCCAGGTATTTATCTTGGTTGTTATTTGTATTTTCCCTTTAATTTAAAAAAAAATTGCTGTTCTGTGGTCTTCTTGTAAGGAGCTGCCATCTGGAACACATGTGAGTGATCTCTTGTCCTCTCCTTGTCTGGGGAGGTTCTGAAAAACTGGTCTACTACCCTTATGAAGCCTTTCAATAGTTCTTTGATTTCTATCATGGTGTTCAGCTCTGTTATTCCAAAGGTATTTTCAGTTTGCCATGCCTCTCCCAGAAATCAGTGACCTCATCTCGATTTGTTTTGTTCACATATTTCCTTTATACAAATGGTATTTTTACAGCTCAGTCTGAATTCTTTGCAGAGCGTGAGAGGAAGAATTCTGAATTTAAACAAAAATAAGGTTCTTCCTTTTTCCTCTATGTGCAGCGAACTGGCAACAAGAATATCTCCTTATCTATTTTTTGCTTTTAACTTCAAAACAAGAAAATCATTATCATTATAAAAGTACAGATAACTACTGAAGTAAGTATATGACTGAGGTATGCTGTCTGACAAGTCATAAATGCAGCAAAATTGAACTTTTTTCTTAAAATAGTTTTTCTGGCAATTTACCTCTTGAAGCCTTTCAATGTGGGTCCGGCATAATTCCAAATCACTGTCTCCTGGAACCACAATAATTCCTAAAGGCACGGCTGTAAAATAAAAAAAAATGCAATTACTTTTGCCTGCTAACCATATTTGTTATGATTGCTCAGTATGCCAAGTATTTTACTTTGGTTTATAAACCCCTGAGAAATTGCTAGCTCATCAGCACTTCTGAGGGGAAAAAACTTTTCTATGTGGGAAAATGTTCAGGGATTTACACTGTGGACTAAACACTTTTTCTAAAAGTGTGCCATTCCTCACATTCTGATGCAAGGCCTTTTTAATATTTATCTTATTCAGTATTACAATGTATCACAAAGGCCAAAAGAGGTCTTATTTTAACATGAGTCACTTGCCAGATATTAAGAGAAAGTGGGTACAATAATAAATAAATAGCTGCAGATTCCAGATTTCCTGTAGGGTGCTTGGCCTTTCTATTTAAACAAATCTCCCAATTACTTACAAGCTTCTTTGAGTTTCTCCTTGTCATAATGAAGTGCCTCATAGTCATGCATGCCAATTCGGCTTACACGGATTCTTAACCGTTCTGGAACTGGTTGTTGACTGAAAAAAAGGAAGCATGTATGTTTGAAAAATTAGGGAGGATAACACTATTGTGTGCAAAAAAAGGAGGAGATGCTACTGATTGAGAAGGTGACAGGCGATATTTTCTAACAATAGCACGTTTCTAACAATGTGTCATGTTTCTAACAAACTTCTCTTAGTTGTGAACAAGAATGCTCAACAGCTGCATGTTGCACATGTAGTTCCACCCCGAGAGAAATGTTCGATAGCTACTGAAGAAAAACTCACCTGGACAAGATAATCTCTACTGCCTATCTATTGCAGATAGGCAATAGAGCTGGGTACATTTGTATCTACTGGGATAAGGCTAAATAGGAAGAGTAATATTGACAATCTATTACTGTAATTTCAAATGGGGAGCAGGGGAATGAAAGGTATCACATGTTATACTCTGACAATAAAGGTTTGAATTGAATTGAAGTAGAGAATAGTTACTGAATATAATTCTCTTTGATTTCATAACGCCTTATACAGCCTTCACCTAATAATGTTTTCCAACTTGCCATAAGAACTTATTTAAAATAAAGTAATTTTTTAGATTGTGCTGAGATGGACAAATTAACAAAGGAAATTAAAGAAAAGGAAGATACAGAATAGTATGCAGTATGGAACAAATGGTACAACTGGCTGGACATTAGGAATAGTGGACAAAAATGATTGGGAAAAAATTTCAAATGGAAAATGTTTGTAGGATAATGTATAAAATTAATATTATGTGTAAAGGAAGTTACAGAGTACTAAGGGATAATGGGTTAGGAAGGATATATATATTATAAAGAGAATTAGGGGGAAATGTAAACAATAGAAGATTACCATTACGAAACTGTTGTAAAAAGGGAATATATGTTTTGTGTTTGTCATATTATGTTGTTTTATAAATAAATAAAATAAAAAAAAATGAATACTCAAAATTAAATTTAAAATAATTGGCTAAAATTTCAGAGAGCTATAAAACTGTCTTATAGCTTTAGAACCTTCCTTGACATTGAGCCTTAGAGTTTGGGATATGATCGAAATCCAACAGAAACTGTAGCAAAGCTGAATACTGTGAACTTCTTTCTCGCTTGTACCAAAGCTTTGGAGATCCTCCCTATGGTACATACTCATTCAATAGAGGCATGGAGTTTCTCCTCTTGGTCTTCTGCACCATATTTGCTTGGTTGCGCAGTGAAATGTGTATGCAGGAAGCTCCCAGTTTACAAGGTTCCCCATCCACCTGCATGGGGATGGCTTTGGATGTGGTAAGTACCACCTCCCGGCACTGGTGCAGCCGCTCTCCATGGCCACCCACTTGCAGTGCTGCCTAGAGAATAAAGAAGAAGGTGAAATAAATGGATTATATATACTTCTTGCTAATAGGTAACATATAAACTACAGCTGGGTCTCAAAATGGGTTTCAGTTCAAACTATTCTGAAGAACCCTTGTATATGCATAGAGAGAGTAGCATGGTCCAATCTGTGGCCTGAGATACTCTTCCATAAAATGTAATGCAGGAGACATGAAATTTGTCATAGAGTTATACATAGAGTTTTACATTCCTTGGAAAAGAATGTAAAATGACATGTAACCTAATCCCCTTGCTCTTTTGGACATAACAAATCACCTGCTTTGAGGCAATAATTTATTGGGGCTTAGCTCACTCCATCAGAAAGTTTCTCTGAAAGCTTCTCAGAGGGCTTGGCTTGCCTGCAGTTTCCACCCCATGATCCAAATTGCTGCAGCTGACTCCCAATGGTATATGGAGCAGTGGTGGGTTTCAAATTTTTTTACTACCGGTTCTGTGGGTGTGGCTTGGTGGGCGTCACATGGCTTGGTGGGCGTGGCTTGGTGGGCATGGGAGGGGAAGGATACTGTAAAATCTCCATTCCCTCTCCAATCCAGAGGAAGGTTACTGCAAAATCCTCATTTCCTCCCGATCAGCTGGGACTCAAGAGGCAGATAATAGATGGGGGCGGGGCTAGTCAGAATTTTTACTACCGGTTCTCCAAACTACTCAAAATTTCCGCTACTGGTTCTCCAGAACTAGTCAGAACCTGCTGAAACCCACCTCTGATATGGAGTTGTAATATACTGTAACAGTGATGCTCAAAAGTCTTAGGAGCATTTCTTAGCCTTACATCCCCCGACATACCATTTGCAAACTCATACACTTAGGATCTAACTATCAAGGTGTTTTACATCCTTATCAGGACCTTTATTAGGCTTTAACCCTTTGATCTTTGCTGAATTTTGATACAAATTAAGTCCTAGCATTCATATTTTGCACAAATGCAATGGCACATCTTCACACAACATAAATTGCTAGCACATGTGGTTAATACCGATTGAGCTTTAATCTAAGTGGATTCCATACATATGGATCTAATTTGGTCTGGGCAGTCCTGACAATTTCCACTGCAAAATGAAGTACAGTTGAAATGAATGGAACCTGTTTTAGCCACTCAAAATGAAAGTGATGAAGGCCCAGTTCAGGTCTGGAATACAGCAAGGGACAAAAAGTTACAACCTTTTATGCCCCATAGAAATAGGTCCCAAATCAACAATTACAGAAGCCAAATGTTCCATTGTTTACTCCTAAGCAGAATGTTGTCTGCTCAACAAATAAAGGGTTGATACTGCTCTTACCTATTAATTATATTTTGTGATTACTTAATTCATCTCAGCTATTCTGGGTGCAATCTGAAATGTACAATACAATAAATTTCTATTGTGCCTGTCAGTAATGCTTTGATGCTCCCAAAGAGTACAAAGGAAATTTATTAATGAATGCACTTCAACAATATGGCTCCTTAGGCAGACGGGAGTGAAAATAGGATAGGATAGGATAGGATAGGATAGGATAGGATAGGATAGGATAGAAGTCAGAATAGCTGGGTTTACTCACCAGCGAGGTCATGGTGAAGGCAATGACCTCAAGGCAGCCGTCATCATGGCGCTGGGGTTCAAAGTCATGATGCTCTCCAGGGTTGCCCCAAGGCATAGTGCCTGCACAGTACCTATGTAGAGGAGGAAGGGAGAAAAATGAACTGCTACAACTGAAAACACAGGGAAGGGTTTAGAAAATTGGGAATGCAGCATAAAAGCAACGACTTTTTTTTTTTTTTTTGGCAGTGAATGTAACAGCCCACCTTGGAATGTTTAGGAAGACGAGGCATTGAGGCTTAAGATCTTGGATCTTGGGAGTCAGATCTGTTCCATCACACTGTTGTTGTTGTTGTTGTTGTGTTTTTTTTAAAAAAAGAGAATGTTAGTATCAAAGACAAGAAGCAACAAGCCAAATCCTATCCGCTTTATGGGACAGCCAAATTTTTCTTGTCTGAGACTTGGCCTGGGAATAATTTATTCTCCCAATATTTTCTATAATAGCCAACTTCATCATCAGACCACACTTATTATTCAAGCCAATAACCTTGTTTTTCCAATAAACGGAAATAACCCATCCGTAACGCAATATACTCTGTGGCAGCACCTGCCCTCTGGAACGACTTGCCCCCGAAGATACGCATGATACCAGATCTCTGGGCTTTTCGCCGTGCCCTAAAAACTTTTCTTTTCCACCAAGCAGGGCTGGCATAACCCCCCCACCTTTCTAAGATGTTAGATTTTAATTGTCTATGGGTTTTAGTTGGGATGTTTTAAATTTTGGGCCAAAATGTGTAATTCTTTTAACAAATTTTAAATTTTGTATTGGGATGTTTTTTATTTTGGCTGTGCACCGCCCTGAGTCCAGCAGGAGAAGGGCGGTATACAAATTTAATAAAATAAAATAAAAAAATAAATAATACTCACCACTACTTTGATGTGTTTTGCTAAGTCTTTAGAGCTCCCCATGAGAAAATCAGAGAATGCTGTCTACAAATAGAAGAAAAATGGAAACAGTTCACAGAGTTGCCTACCTGGTTCTGAACAGAAAGGGAAGATTGAGAGGGCAAATTTCAGCAAATTACCTCATTTTATATCTCAGTGAAAATGGCAGGGTAGGATATCTGTTTAAGTAGGAATGTTGCACATTCAATTATCCAACACTACCATCTTTCATTCTGTTGTCTACTTCACAGATGGTACCTAGTCCCTATTATACATGATTTGGGTAAATTTCTAAGGGCATAATCAAGTCCCATCCCACTATCCTCCCTCCCTGGCTGAAGCTAGTACTGAGCTACACTGCACAATGTGTCCCACTTTCTCTTATACTCAAATTCTGGTAATGTCAATCAAGTTGTACCAACACAGATTTTCCAATATAGATTAAGTATTTTTTTCCTACATCCATTCCAAAGGAAACCAATAGTACCTTTTCCCAACTCAGAATGCCTTCACATGTATGAAGAGTGGGACTCCTGGTATTTCTAGGGAAATGAGATTCCAACACATCTGGAAGATGCCAACTTGGGAAAGGTTGCTATCAATAATAAGTATTTTGTGGAGGGCGGGGAATACATATCAAGAGAAAGTGCAGACTGGGGCATGCATCCTGATGAACTCACCCCAGCATAGAACATTTTATTCCGAAATCGACTGTTAAATTTCTCTGGCTTGGCCTCTGGAGAAAGAAGTTAGTTATCTGTTATTATGAGTCACTGGTTCTCAGGAAGCCGAGTCCCTCCCACTAACTTTACAAACAATATGTATCTTTACTCCTGGAAAGGCATTAATTATTTTTCTGAGCCCATTGCTTCCAATTCTTAATCACTTTCTTTTCCCTCCCTCCCTCCCTGGTCTTATAAATTAAATTACAACCTTTCTGACTTTAGCTCCTCCATAGTCAAAGTTGTATGCATTACTCAAGCAATCAGCCCAACCCTAACATAATCTGCAAAGCATAAACTTTGACTGTTATTAGAAATGTTGACATTTACCTCGAGATTCATGGAATTCCAGTGTCACTCGAGCATCAAAACCAAGGCTGAAGTAATTGTTGAAGACATCAAGAGGGAGCTGAAATAGACAAACAGAACAGTTAACCCAGGACTGAAAGACAGAATGAGTTTTTTTAGTTGGTATACAGATATATGTATGGAATAAAAAAAGCAGTTTAGAACCGTGAATATAAATCCTCACCTCCTTCATCTATTAAAGTCTCTTCTGATATTGATTGCATGAAAATGAAATTCTGAATGCAGAAACTTCTCTATGAGAATACCATATAGAGATAGTCCTCAATTTACAACAGTTTGTTTGGTGGCCATTCGAAGTTACAATGGTTCTGAAAAAAGTGACTTATGACCATTTTTCACACTTACGATCGGTGCAGCATCCCCATGGTCATGTGATTTACATTCAGATGCTTGACAACTGGTTCATATTTATGACGGTTGCAGTGTCATGGGGTCTTGAGATCATCTTTTGCGACCTTCTGACAAGCAAAGTCAATGGGGAAGCCAGATTCACTTAACAACTGGATTACTAATTTAACAACTGTAGTGATTCATTTAACAAATATGGCAAGAAAGATTGTAAAATGGGGCAAAATTCACTTAACAAATGTTTCACTTAGCAACAGAAATTCTGGGCTCAATTGTGGTCATAAGTCGAGGACTACTTGTAATACCAAATCACGTGTTCCTGAGATTCTCACAAAAGCTGTTTTAGCTGAGACTCTGAGGCTCTTAAATCACAGTAATTCTAAACAATGAGAAGAAATTCTTAGGTAGGTAAGAAATTCTTGTAGGTATTCCCACATATTCATGTTTAAGTCATGCTTCGAAAGGAGAATAGTTTTGTTTTTTTACTCCAACCTACCTTTTTTCCCAAATTCTAAGGATGCGTTTGGAATCTGAAACTCCAGAGAATGGGAAGTTCTTTGCAAGGCCAAATTGGAACAAAAGTAATGAAGAACTGGCAATAGCTTAAAGTATTTCCTCCTCTCACACACGTACGGTTTTTCACAATAGGATTCAGAAGAATGGGTGGAGGTTTAAACTGGGGAGAGGGCAGGGCATTCACAGTGACTCCAGCCCCTTCTCTCTCACATCAAACCTTCAGCCCAGGAACAGAAGGAAAGTTGTCCTTTTGTATACCAAATGCAAGTACAGCTGCTGACTGTGAAATCTGGAAATCCACTTTATTAAGGCTCTATATTACATGGAGATCTTTATTTCAACAAAAGCATTCCTAGTATGCTGCCTTTCTGACTTTTCAATTTAGTCAGGGAGAGTGAGGGACAACCTCACTCTCTTTTTGATAAAAAGGTGCTACGATCTGTTATCCCAACCTTGAAAACCAGAAACATTTGGTTCCAGAAGCACACCAGATTGCATCGTAATGAATTTCTGTACTTTTTCTGACAACAGTTTCAATTTATTATCCTTTATCTACTCTATTTGTGTTTATAGCAGCTATTCAGTGGAGATATATTATTTACCTGACACTGTTTCGCAGAAAAAGATTTGGGTATCATCAGTAATTCCCTGTAAGCCGCCTAGGGTGAAATGGGCGGCAAACAAGTTTGATAAATAAATGAATAAATAAACAAACAGGCAGCATCAAATAAAATTTATACATGGTAAATGTGTTATCATTTTGACTGCTTACACCTGATCTAACTAGGAAATGACAGTTAGCCTTCCTATAGCTGAACACAGAACTGAAAATTCTATTCTTCTGTTGTACTTGTGATGAATTATGACAGTAAGCGACTCTGCTTAAGTGTAATCATTGCACATTAGAAGCATAAAGGCAGATTTTAGAGAATATTATCTATTTTATTGGATTTAGATTATGTTTATTGATCCTTTTCCCACCCATTTTTAGAATTTATTTCTTCCTGTTGCCTCACTTACACAATTCATTAAACTTAGCTAGGGAGCAAGGTATATTTTCTATGATGTCACAGAATATTTCTCATTATATTTAATTCATATCTAATTATACTTGACCATTATGAAATAAATTATAAAGTACAACATGTCGGGTGTGAGAGTGAGCAGCTGATCTATCTGGATATGACATTACTATTAACTTAGTGATGATAGCTCTGGGGCTCACCTTATCTGTGGCTGTTTCATCCTTCTCTTCTGGATTTCCCTCAGGTTTGGGGTCTACCTGTAGATTCCAGCGATCAAGTTGCACAATTTCCCCCTCTTCTACATGAGACAGGATTTTTGACAACGGTTCATCAGTATATCCCTGTGGGTTGACATATTCTCTGTGAGAACTAAGACAAGGTAATGGAAACAAATAACTTCCCTTCAATCTACTTAGCGCCGTTCATAGTGCTGACTTGGAATATAGACAAATACTAAACTTGTAATGAATTGGCAAATTCTTACCCCGCCCCAGTTCAGTGTTCTTGCTAGGTCATTTCCTGTCCCCAAAGGAAGAATGGCCACAGGAGGTGGAGGGTTCAGGCGTAACTGGTCCAAAATTGACAGGATCCATCCCACCTACTCAGCCAGGAAAGACATAACAGATTCAGACAGAATTTTGGCCGCAATTTCCTATATCTGCTCAGTTGCTTCAGCTATTTATTGCATTTTTTATATACATCCACAGGAGCCAGCCCAGTAAGTATAAAAAGAAGAGTTACCAAAGATGGCAGGCTTTCTCAGGGGCTCTGCTATTTACCAATTAACCCAACAACTAACCAAAATCAATTAAAAGCAGTATTTGTTACAATTGTTGGTTTATAATTTAGACAGGACTACAATTTAGACAGGACTGCAGGGCCACAGCATATCGAAATAGTATATGCTCCAGAGGTAAAAAAGTAGTAGGCCAAGAATTAATATAAACCAACCAGTAATATAGACATTGCTCATAGAAATGCCCTTCTCTAATACATTGCTGCATTAGTGCTTTAGGTAAAATGTAAACAGCTCTGTATCCTTGAACAGGTAGCCCTGAATGCATATGTCTGTATTAAGAAATTTGGTGGACAATTCTTCACACGTAACTCAATGCAACAGAACTATCTGGATACTGACCCAAGTTCTGCTACTGATGGATATCTACCTTATCACAGCTTATCACACAGGAAAGGGGACATAGCCACTTACTGTACCATCTCCTCCACATGCCAGAATCCGTAAGTTGTGTACTTTACGATACAACTCCAACCTGCACAAAACCCAGAGTGAGCATCACTTATTTTTATGTATTGAACCTCAATCCTCCTAAAAAAATAAATATCAGGGGGAAGTACACATTTCCATAGGCTATTTTTAGAAATGCAGTTTAGTTCAAGTAAAAAATAATTTTAAAAAATGTATCTTTAGAATAATTCTTCAGCTTTGTCTCCATAGCTGAAAGAAGCTGCATACCCAAGTAATGAAAAGTAAGTGACAGGGAGTAAAGGTTTGTGGTTTGAACTGTGCATGTTCTCTCTCTGGCTGTTAGCTTAATGGAATAAGATTTTCCTTCTTCCAAGGAGCAGAAAGGGGCATGGGTAGAAAATGTATTGAAGTAGCTTATTTCAGTACCGTGCTTAGTACTCCACTTCAGAGCACCATCTAGAGCAGGCAAGGGGGAAGCTCCAGTGCAAAAGCCAGATGTAATTTATAGAATAGCTGCTTCTAGTCTTCAGAGACCCTGGTAAAAGTCTACCTTATTATTTTTTTTTTACCAACCCTGCTCCTCTCTCCACAAGGGCATGTGCATGCAAGATATGACAGGAAACAATTGTTCCTTGTCTCTTCCTGTACATAATAGATTTCATGGCAGCAGCAATGATAAGGAATGATTTATTCTTTATCTGTTCCTTTGCAGACTGTCTTTCTCATTGGAGCAGAAAGCAGTAATTCTACGCTTTCTCCTTTATATAATGAAGCAGCTCTTCCTCTTTACCTAAAGGAAAAAATGAGCCTCCTTTCCATGTAGCAATAGCAATAGCACTTAGACTTATATACCACTTCACTGTGCTTTTACAGCCCTCCCTAAGTGGTTTACAAAGCCAGCATATTGCCCCCAACGATCTGGGTCCTCATGATAACAGGGAATACAGGCTTGGTTCAAGAAGAAGGGATTCAGGGGTTTTCCTCCTTATTCACTGGACTAAGCCTATACATTCCCAAATTCTCTTGAAGAGATCAAATTCATTCCTACAATATTGTAGAATGGAAAACCTGGACAACTGAAAATTCAGCCACAATGCTTGTTTGTTCCCCTGGGAGAATTGAAACTCTTTTAGCTTAACTAAAAGTAACCCACAGGATTGGTTACTTCTTCTTCTCCCCTTTATACCAGCATTTCCCCTTTTATTGGGCACTCTTCAGTAGCTAGGAGATAGCATGAATGACAATGGATGAAAATCTCAATTTAAACAGTTGAAAATAACTTGTATGGGGATCTCAGCTGCATGGCCTTGAGATCTACATTTAGAAGTTCAACAATGTCACCTCATCAAGTACTCTTTAAGATCATTCACTCTTCTAATTCTAAAGTGCCACTCTGCCTATTTTAGAAGGCAAATATAAAAAATATTTTTCCAATGATTTCAGGTCTGTTTGTGTCAGTTGGAAATGAAGAATGTACTTGTGTGAGGTTCAGACTCTTAATTGTTACTCACGCTTCTTTGGGACCTCCCTGGCTGAGATCAAAAACTTGCCGAGGGTTGAGATACCACATAAAAGATTGGAATATCTTTGTTCCCTAAAAGAATGGAAGAAAATATGCTGAAGAAGGCTAACAGAGAGCCCATGGCATTTGAGAAATAATATTGGATAAGTAATTTTACCTGATTCCCACCACTCTTGGGGTTCACAAACACAAGCAGCGGCTTCATGAGAGGTGCTGGGATGGGCTTGATAACAAAAGGTTTCCATCTTCCTTCCTAAAAAAGATGAATTACAGAATGACAAATGAAGAAATCAGGTTTTTCCCATGGGATTTACATTGTCCGCATGATGTTATAGTCACTAAATTCCTTGTACTTTTTTGACAACCAAAAAATGGAACAAATGCAAGTGCTAGGTTTGACTAGGAATATGAACAATAATTGGGTTTTATTTTTGTAGAAAAGAAGACCTTTCTTGCCTTTTATGTCAAGGTCTATAAAAACAAGAACAAAAATCATGGAAGTGATGGAGATCTAACTACTGTAAAGCCAGTCAGGCATCTACATTTCATCAGAAAAACTGTTTTTAGCTTTTCTTCCCTTTTGGGCTTCAATTCTCATTTTTTTCTAAGCAATAAACAATCTCCTTTTGGATTATCTGCTGTGAAAGAGCAAAATATCCATATCTGAGCGGAGCTAAAAATATTTAAAGAAATACAACAGCTCTGCTGGATAAGATAGGTCTTACCCAGTTCAGCTTTCTATGTCTAAATTAGTCAATTAGACATTGTAGGATGCCCATAAGTAAAACATAAGTGCAGTGATAAACCCCCCCCCCCCGTTCTCTAGCAATCAGTATTCTGAAGTTCTGAGGGAACAACATCTAGCCTTTGTAATCAATAACTATAAGTAATCCTCGTTTCTATGAAAACATTTGGAATCAAGACACTATTAATCAGCTTCCTTTGTTGTTTTTAATACATATTTAATAAGGAATGACTATTTTTTATCACTATCTGTAAGCAGGATAATGCAGTTTTACTGCAAATTTAGAGAAAGATATGTCCAAGGGTGAAATCCAGCAGGTTCTGACAGGTTCTGGAGAACTGGTAGCGGAAATTTTGAGTAATTTGGAGAACCTGCAAATACCACCTCTGGCTGGCCCCAGAGTGGGGTGGGAATGGAGATTTTGCAATATCCTTCCCCTAGGAGTGGGGAGGGAATGGAGATTTTGCAGTATCCTTCCCCTGGAGTGGGGTGGGAATGGAGATTTTGCAGTATCCTTCCCCTGCCATGTCCACCAAGCCCAGCCCACAGAACCGGTAGAAATAAAATTGAATTTCATCACTGGATATGTCCTCTTTTAATATTTATATTTATCATAATAACAAGGGGTGGTAACAGGACTCTGCTATGGCTCTCAGAAGTCTCCTCCCAGCATGGCCACTGATAGAGGCTACTGGGATGATAGTCCAGCAATATCTGGAGAGCCACACATTATTCACCTCTATGCTAAATGGCATTGTCCAATTTGCTTCAGTTCTGTTGAACTATTTTTCCTTAGTCTTTAGGAAAAGTTACTAGTCTGCAAATATTTTATTAGGGTCTGGCTGGGAGAAAACAGAAGGCAGTTCTTTGCATTACTCACTTGCCTGAAGGGCTTCCAGACAATCTCTTAGATGGACTTACGGCCCAGGAATACCAAAGAGGCAATTTTGTAAACTAAAATGAATGCAACACTTCAGTATTAAAAAAAGGGGCATTTTTCCCACTTCGGTCTAGCAAATTAATGCACAAACATACAAAAGCATTAGCCAATTTCCTAGGATTTTTTTTATCCTATTGTTTCTTTGGGACTGCCCGCTCATCATTTTGTTCTTTGTATTCTTTCAACTTCTCAGTTTTAATCTCTGACCTCAGGTCCCTTCTTGCTGGATTTCCGTTTGAAGGAAGTCCTTTTTTTCTTCTTACTTGACTTCAGAGGGTTCTAGAGAGAGAAGAGGGAGGGGGACAGAAAGAACAAACCATGTAAATCAGGAGTTAATTTAAAGTACCTCCTCCACATTCTAGAAGTGTTAGGGCTACCATTCCCTGAATTCTGTTGGGAACTTTGAGCATTGCTCTGAACACATTTGGTAAGTAAGGATAAATGGATTTAGGGGAGAAATTTGCACAGGGATAAAGAAAACCTAAAACTGCAACATACTTGGGGATGACGGACACGCAAAATCCAGGTGGGAGGGATGACAACAGCAGCATGTGCCCCCAGTGAACAGGGCTCTTCAATGTGCTGCAGCATGAAGCATGAAACTTTACTGTGGTACTGAAAAGAAGCAAAAGAACACAACTGATTAAGAACAATCGCTGCCTCTATGAGCCTGTTCCCAATATTGGACTAGTGTACTCCTGTAAGCAGAAAGGTTTGGAAATCAGATTTAAGTGCTAGGTTTTATCATCCTAAATTTGGATTCTGGGGACTTCATGACTTAGCACAATTCCTGGGCCTGACTTGGATGAAAACTCTCAGATGTAGCTCAACTAGATTAGAATATTTAGAACAGACAGTAATAAAGCTATAACACAATAGTCTATTGTCTATTGCTATGCAAAGGGGGAAAAAAAAGACTTCAGGAATTTTAACTTGAAGTTTCTTCCTCCTGCCCTACTGAATAACCAGAAACTTGGCTCAGTGCTTAATGGCCTTGAAGTTTTTGAAAGTCACTGTACATTTGTCCTGGTCTGAGAACTTATAGTTCCTGTTTTGTCTGCCTGAACCTTTACAGGAAGACTGCTGAGATGGTGGGAAAGATGATACTATTTCAGGATGTTAGGGAATTTCTTTTATATTTCCCTGTGCAGGAGTTCTGCATTCTGCATTTCTAAATACACTCCTATGTCAGAATATTAATATAGAAAAGAGCAATTAGCTTTGCATCTCTCTCTCTCCCTCCCTCCACACACACAAAAAATACTACATTCTTGTAATACTACATTCAGATTTTTTTACTAGCAGTCAAGCCAACAATACTCTTGGGAAATATATAAGAAAGTAAAAAGTGAGTGACTAGTTTCTGCACCTCAGATACTATAGGTAATCCTCGCTTACTAACTATAGTATCTAATTTAATAACTGTTCAAAGTTACAATGATTGAAAAAAAAAGCTTTGTGACCAATCTTCACATTTAGAACCATTACAACATCCCATGGTCATGTAATTGCCATTTGTGTGCTTCACAATCGACTTTCAAGAAGCAGAATTAAAAGAGAACATAGAAGTGAAATTAGAAATCGCCATCATACGATATCCCAATTAATGACTGTGGTGATTTGCTTAACAATGGAAGCAGAAGTGAGTTTTTATCTTGTGCAGACACACGATTTTTCACTTAGAAGCTGTGGTGCTTAGCGACCAGAGTAGCTGGTCCCAGGTGTCATTGGTAAGCAAGAATGACCTGTATTTTAATTCCTCATTTTCCCCATTCTGAACAGATCTGTTCTCAACATTATTTTCCCTCCACTTTTCTCCTTGAAGAAGAAATATTGCAGCCAAGAACTTACAATGATAAAACCATATACTTTTACATACACAAGTAAAAACTAATTTTAAAAACCTTCAATAAATAGCACATCATTTTCTGGGGCAAATGGAAGTAGAGAAAAAGAGAATAGTATCTTGGTAAACAAATGCACGCTGCACTCACTGCCTGCTTACACCAGGAACAGCTGATGGCTACAATTTCCTTGCTGTGGAAGGCAAATTTCTGCTGGAAACCCTGGATAGACAAAGGAAAAAAAAAAACATTATTCATGTTTCCTTTTTCATTTTGCATTACAGTGAAAAGTAGAAAGCCTACTAAATAATCATATTTTTGTGTGTTGCAACAGATATATACTTATAAATTTAGTACACAAATGTCCTTCAATTACATGATTCTGGAACTTTCTGAAGGTTAACTTCTGGAAACCCAACAAATCACCAATGAATTAGCAGTACGATCCAGTTAAATGGTATGAGGGAAAAAACTTATCAAAGTCTGAAAGATAATAGTTCATAAAAATCAATCACACTGTATATAGCATCTTTTTTATTTTTATTTGGTAGAATAAAGAATATTATGCGAAGATGCAAGTCCAATATAGTTTCTCACCAGTTCCACTCTAAGCTCGGCTCCTCTTAAACCCCCCCCCCACTCTCTTTCTCTGCATAACTTGATAAGATCTTGATACATATATGGACTGTTTTCTTCACCTTTCCACATTGTCGACATTTCCCTTCCTGGCGTCTCCGGTGTACCCAATGATGCCGCACAACAGTAGGCTACAAAGAAAGAGGAGAGTGAGTTCAGGAAAAAAGAAACAAAGGAACAGGAAGGAACACAACAGCTTTCAGTGCTGCTAAATATTAAGCTGTTGGTGTTCCGGTAAGAGCTGGCAAATGAAGACAGGCATTAGATACCATTCACAGTTTGTTCTTGTTGGGAGGTAGGGGGAATGTTGCATAAGTGACCTTAGGAATTAGTTCAGGGAGATTGCTTTTGTTCTTCATCCAAGTTTAAAGGCAAGCACTGCCTTTCTTATCAAGAATAGATGCTGCCTCGGGTTTTTCTATCTTGTACTTTCAAGACCGTTACTTATACTACACAGGCTGCACAAAATGCTGGTCACATTTCCCCAAATGGCATGTAGACCCATTTCTCTTCAAGAAGGAAGGTACAACATGGTTTCTGTAGGCTTTAAACACCATCCATCAAATACAGAACCATGCAAAGATTCTGTCAATATTGTTGATGAAACATATTATATAGCTTGGGAGCTAACACCCTGGAATAAGTTTAAGAAACAGAGTTAATGCAGATGAATAAACACTATCTAATGACTGGAAAAAGTCAACTGTTTTTGTAGCAAAGTTGGATTTACTTTCAGAGTCACTATTCTTATAAAAATTCACAGGTTACACTAGTAAAATTTCAAGTATAAGATTAATGAAATGTTATATTGATAAACAAGTTCATTAATACAGATTCAGTGTATGAATACCATAAGTAATAGTTCTAAAAATGAACAACTGTAATGACTAACCAGATAGCATGCATTTATTCATTTATTCCTATAATAATATCTTATTATTTTCTTTAAGAAAATCTTTCCATGACTACTACATATGCAATTTTTGAACCAGAGAGACTGCTTAGCACAAAATTTATTACTTCTCACTATACGAATATATATACTGCTCAAAAAAATAAAGGGAACACAAGCAGAAGACATCCGAGATCTGAATGAATGAAATAGCCTTATTAAATACTTTGTTCTTTACATACAGTAGTTTATACACTGCTCAAACAACTAAAGGGAACACAAAACTACTGTATGTAACAAACAAAGTATTTAATAAGGCTATTTCATTCATTCAGATCTCGGATGTCTTCTGCTTGTGTTCCCTTTATTTTTTTGAGCAGTGTATATTCTCGAAGATAAAAAGACATGCATCATAGTAGCCTTCTATTCCAAAAACATATTTATATTTTATGTTCATGGAAAAGTACAGCTTTAGACTTGGCTACAATTTTCTGCTACAAATTTACGCCAAATATTTTAAACGCATTGGGATGAAGCTGCATATTTTTAAAAATCCCCCACTTTTAACAAAATCCTAACTAGTTCATGCAGTTCTTACCTCCCGGATATTCCTTGATCCAGATTCCCTAAAGGAAGGCTTGCATCGGAAATTAATCTGAGGATTTAATAGGAGGAGGATTTAATTCTATGAATAACAGTCTATTTTGATATTTTTCTTCTGTCATTCCTCCCTCTAAATAGTTTCAATGAAAAAGTATAGAAGAAGAATATATGAAACTACAGGATATGAATTTGAATTTGTCTAGCTCACTACAATCTTCTCTAAATAGCAGTAATACAGGGTACCTCCCAGTTCTCCAACCAGGATTATTTAACTGGTAATGTCTGGATTGAAATAAATTTAGATTTAACTGAATCTAGGGCCTTCAGAATACTAAGCTAGGATCAAAGAATTAAAAACAAAAGAATTATGAATTTATCCTATTAGGTAAGTATTTTTCAGATTTTGGTTGTGGCAAGATGGAATCAAATACAGCAGAGCCTTTTTCATGATGGTCTACTCACTTTTTCTAATTGTTCTATGCAGGGTGTGTGGACTACAATTTTGCAGGCTGCACATTTGCGCTTGGACATAGGTTTTTGCTGCAACAAAGGAAACATAATATTTATACAATCAACCAGTGCCTGAGAAGATTGCAAATTATCCAGAAAAATGATTCGATGGAATAAATTCCAACATATAAAAAACCTTGCAGATCAAAGCCATTTTTTTTTAGTCTGCATATTTCCATCCCTATATAAATGTCAGGCAAGGAAGGCATCTCAAGGTGACTTGAGATATGGAGCACAATGTCTTCCCCCATTGCTTGATCATAATGAATCAAGTAGAATTCAGAAGAGGCAAACAAATCTGAATTAGATTGTAATCCCCCAGGTTTAATAAAGAGATGTCTTAAAATATATTTTTATACATCTCCGCTGTGAGTTGTTCAGAGATGTGTTTTAAGAGAGGTGGCCATAAAAGTCTTTTTGATAAATAAATACATTCATAATTCTGTTAACTTGGATACTTGATACTTTTCAAGCATCACGGAATAAATGAATAAATTGCAAACTAATTAAAACATTTAAATGCATCAAATGAAGACTCTCAGTCAAATATCAGGCTTCTAACTACTTTCTTTCATGTTTTTCTTTGTTAGGATATCTTTCTTTTCACGAAATGTTCACTTTTTAAAAATTACAAATGCATAGTACATATTTATTTTGTTTTGTATATGAACATGCATACAATATTTAGAATAAATTATTTGATTGAGAGAGATTAAGATCAAGATTGTGCAATAGTAGGGAACTGCAAAAATTTGCTTCTGCTTTTGAAGAAAAATTCTGGGACAGAAAAAAATGTCTTCAAATATTCAACAGAAAGCACAGTGAGATTTTGAAAGGGAAATAAACACTCAGAATTATCAACAACATCTACAATTATCAACAATATAGGATTATCAACAATTTTACAGACTCATTCAGCAAATGTTGGATGCCACAAACAAAATTTTAGTTTGGTCTCCATTTCTAATAATGGATAGATTGTTGTTTTGATGCAGCTGGGACAACTGATGTAATTAAGCAGAAAATGCAAAGTAGATCAATTGTCTAAATTCATATTTAATGGACATTTGTCTACCACTGGCACTATTTCTTGCAAATGATTTGTAAAATTGAGGTTTTACTGTACACATTTATATTGATTCAGACAGGTGGGCTGGTATATACCGTAGACACTCATCTAATCTTTAATGGGCAGCAGTTCCACCTTTAATCTTATTTATTTATTCAAGCTTGTTATAGCTACTCAACTCCAATAGACTCTGGATAGCATACAAAACAAAAACAAAAACAATCTATAAAAACAGATAAAACATAACAAAACAGCTCAGACTGAAATCATCTCACAAGCAATACAAATCAAACAAAACAGGCTCCAGAAAATATAATAATACATTAAGTCCAGGCCTGGGACCAAAGCCAGGTTTTAAGAGCTTTCTGTAACCCTAGCAGAGAAGGTGCTGTCCTTCCTAGAAGACTAATGTATACTTCTTCCATATATAAGCAACTACTTTATACTGGAGTAGGCCTTTTTGGTTGCTATCTGGAGCTACATATCATTATTACAATCACCATCATTTAAAAAAACCATGAATTTTTCAAGGGCTACAGGGATTTAGCATGACACTAGACAGGCAGATCTGAAATTTCTGGTCTGCTGTGAAGGAGAGCTGAGACTTGAAATAAATTCAGATCAGATCACATGCTATTCTGGATTCTGAGTTGTCTTTGGCATTGCCCAGATATAATTCACCATTCTCTTGGCTCCTAGCAAGCACACTCATGTTCCATCTCCCTGATGATATGCTGAAAAAGATCATTGGAGCATCTGTGACTCTATGGTCTGGGATCTTAGCCTGGCCTGCATATGCTACCTTTTACATTCCCTAAGCATATAAGATATTGTTTTTATTGTTAAAAAGGGGGGAAAAGATTGCTAAAATTATAATTGGGCTGTCAATTTTGATTGGGGGGGGGGAAGAGTGCTACTTTGGGAGTAGGACAACATTCCCCATCAATCGACTTCTGGTTGGCGCCGCGGCAAATGGACGGGGAAATAGCGGGGCTCCTTGGAGCCCCACGAAAACCCCATCTACTAAGCCACCACCGGCAGGTCTACGGACCTACCCTATCCTGGAGGGACGGGGATTAGAGAGGGACCCCTCAGACGGCCGAGAGGAACAGGCAGGTTCCTCGGGGCCGGAGGATTGCCCTCTACGCCGGCAGTGGCAAGAGCGGCAGCTTCTGCAACCAGGACAAGCAAAGTGCAGGAGGAGATGAAGGAGCAAGGTGTTTGAATGCTGGGTGAGTAATATTAGCCCAGGCGGGAAAAGCCTTCAAATAATTGAGTACTAACAATGCCCTGGCCTTAACAGCGGCTAAGAACTACTTGGACAAAGGATTTAAAGCAATTAACAAAGAGAAGACCCATATTATTGACTGCTTTTAGAATTAATCTTCCTTTGGATGGATTTATAATTTGATATTTTTCTGATCTTTAATGAGAATGGATTATTTTTGAAGACGGAGAAGGAGAAGAGAAAATAAGTAGAATGTCTTTTTAAAGCTATGAGAAATAACAAGCGGAGGAAGTGAAAATGGCTCCCTGCTGAGAAATGAAAGTGGAAACTGCAAACTGTGAACTGCTTGCTATTTAAAGAAGAAACTTTGTATCTTGTTTCCCAAATTGGATTACTTCGAGGAAAAACTAAGGAGACTTGATTTTAGATGTACTTAATCTGTTTTTGGACTACTTATGGATAGTTGGAAAGAAGAAATTAATTCAAACACTAAAAACTGCTGATTAATGGCATTCCAACAAAAGGGAAGGGCGGAGCAACAGAAGAAGACATGATGGTATCATATGTGGAATACAAAAGAACTAAATCCTTTAGTTTTTATAAACTTATTGATATTGGAGCTGAAAGGAAAAAGTACGGACAGATTGGAGAAAGGAAAAAAATGGAATATACTGGGTAGCAAGATGAGAAAAGTACTACAGTTTGATTAAAATGGATGTAATGTTTTCTATGTAATTGATGTCCAAACAATGTAAGGAGGAGACTTCCTCTTTCTTCTCTCCTCTCTCTCTCTTATTTTCTTTCTCCTTTCTTTATTATTCTCTTGTTTTATTCCTATCTTTTTCTTTCTTTCTTTCTTTGAATCTTTCCTTTTGATTTCTTTTGCTATACTTTTATTCCTTTTTTCTTTTCCCTTTCTCTTTCCTTTTTTGACTTTTCATTATTATTATTGAGAGAAGTGATTTTCAAGGTGGAGAAAACGTGATAATAGGAAAACTATAAGAAATATGAAGATTATGAATGAATTTTTGATTACTAATAAGAATTCTTGATGGATTTAACGAATACAGAAAATTGTTTCTTTAAAATGCTTTAAAATATTGTCCTTTATAGAAAATAAGAAAATGTGAATGAAGCTTTGAATATTAACAGGAATTGTTTATAGATTTTATGATTATTTTTAAAGCGGGAAATGTCACTATAGAAAAACTATAAAAATGTGAAGATTTTGAAAGAAATTTTTAAAATATTAATAAGAGTTCTAATGGTTACAGAAAATTGATTTGAAAGTGGTTTAAAATGTTGTTTTTTCATAGTAAATAAGAGAATGGAAATGAATTTTTGAATATTAATAAGATTTGTTTTTAGATTTTATAATTATGGTAAATTGGTGTTTCAAAATGGATTAAAATGTTGCTTTATATAGAAAAACAAGAAACAAATACGAAATGGGAGAAACTTAAATAAAATTAATAGTTTAGGACAGAATGGGAGAGAAGATATACATTAAAATGCATTATTATTTTAAATTGGTAAGGAAGTATTATTTTGATGATCAGATGATTAAAGCTAAATTGTGAATTAGTTAAATATAAGGTTAGGAGTGGAGGAAAGCATCCCTGGAGAACAGCTGATTAGGCTGTGAACTAGCCAAAAATAAACTTAGGAGGAGCGGAGGAGATAAATGCTGGAGAGCAGTTAGAGCCAAACTGTGAACCAGTTAAATATAAGGTAAGGAGTGGAGGAAAGCACCACTGGAAAACAGATAACTAAGCTGTGAACCGGCCAAAAATTAACCTAGGAGGAGTGGAGGAGACAATGCTGGGGACCAGTTAAAATCAACTGTGAACCAGTTAAATATAAGGTGAGGGGTGGAGGAAAGCATCCCTGGAAAACAGCTAAATATGCTGTGAACCAGCCAAAAATAAACTTAGGAGGAGAGGAGGAGACAATACTGGGGAGCAATCAAAGCTAAACTGTGAACCAGCGAAATATAGGTTAGGAGAGGAGGGAAGCATTCCTGGAAAACAGCTGAAAAGTCGTTATCCAGCTAAAAATAAACCTTAGGAGGAGTGAAGGAGAAAATGTTGGAAAGCAGTTAAAACCAAACTGTGTCCAGCCAACAAATAAGGTTAGGAGTGGAGGAAAGCATCCCTAGAAACCAGCTAATTAAGCTGCAATCCAGCCAAAAATAAACCTTGGAGGAGTGAAGGAGATATCTTTGAAGAATAGTTACTGATTTTGAAATGTTTTTAAGAGAGAAATAAAATATTTTATGTTGATTATTAGATGTGATTTAAAAGAAACATTGACTTGATTTGGGTCTTTGAAGTAAGGAGAATATATGAAATACTGATAGTTAAAATGATAAATGAATATTATAAAGAGCTGTTTAGATTTGAAGTTTAAGATTTAGGGTGATTACATAATAGAATGTTAAATATTAGAATAAGATGTTAGATTGAATGACAAAAATTGGGTTTAGATTTGTTCTGCTTTTTTTTCTTTTTCTTTTTCCATTAAGATGTTAATTGATGAAATTTGGAATTTATACTTATTTTATACTGGATCAAATCCTTGCTCTAAAAAGATGATGTTTTATGTTTTATGTCAAAAATAAGTTTAAAAAAATTCAAAAAAAACAACACATTCCCCATGAATCCATATTTAGACGTACTCCTAGATTTTGGCAAAATTCTCTCCATGCAATTTCCCACTGAGGTAAAACTCCTCTTCCCTTGAGAGTTTTGCAGAAAAGGCTGTGAAACTTCCTATGCAACTAAGATGGCTCAAAATAACATAAATTCACAACTCATATAGAAAAAGGGAATTAAAACTGAAGATTTTACCAAAACTGTTCTGCATGGGGCTTTTATAAAGAAGTATTAATACCGGTCAGTCCTAGAGGAGATCATCCCTGACTGCTCTTTAGAAGGCCAGATCCTGAAGATGAAACTCAAATACCTTGGCCACCTAATGAGAAGGAAGGACTCACTGGAGAAGAGCCTAATGCTGGGAATGATTGAGGGCAAAAGAAGGGGATGACAGAGAATGAGGTGGCTGGATGGAGTCACTGAAGCAGTAGGCGTGAGCTTAAATGGACTCCAGAGGATGGTAGAGGACAGGAAGGCGTAGAGAAACGTTGTCCATGGGGTTGCGATGGGTCGGACATGACTTCGCAACTAACAACAACAATTAATACTAGCGTCACTGAAGGAATCCTTTACAGTTTAGAGCAAGATGTCCGCAATATGCTGGCAATTCTCAGTTTTATGTTTCCTTTCCTACTTATTATAAAGACTGCAAAAATAGGCTGCAGCGAAGTTCAGAAAAGATAGCTCATTCCATGGATTTACTTCAAGATTCAGAAGGATGCACGTTTCCTTAAGAAGCAGGCTTGCAAAATGAAAGACTTATTGGTTCCAGCACTGGTCCTAAATGGCTGCATATCAGCCGGATGCATCTTACTTTACATGACTGAAGTCCAAGCTTCCTACAGAAACAAATATTCTATTCAGGCCTCTGTGCACTTTGCCACCCATTTGGCAAGTCTTGCCACAAGAACATTTGACACCAGTAAGGAATTTAGCTTTTTTTTGGGATGGGGCTCACATTGTAGAACAAAGTGCTACTAGGACTGAAGGGGGCTCTTCTTTGCTAGCACATAGGAAGCAGCTTAAAATTACTTATTCATCCAGAGTGTTTAATATTATTATTATAATTTTGGAATTTTTATTCATATGATATTTTAGTAACTGTTAAAATAATGTTTTGTTGAATTGTTATAAACCTTTCTAAGTCATGAGAGGTGTGTACAACATATAAAGCGTAAACCAATTCAGTAAAATAAGCATATTTCCTTTTTTTCATGCGTCAGTCTGAACGCACCAAACATATTTCTATGCTGTTTTAATAATTTCAGGTGTCTGCTTTCTCCACTAGCTGGTGCTATAATCTCACATACTCTTGACGTTTATCAGACAGTGGCAATTTTCTTACAAAACTTACCAGCATTTTTGACACACAGTTTTGTTCCCCCACATAGCAGAAGTCCCCAGAGACATTGGTTTCAAACCAGATGTGCTCCCCATAAACTGCAGTTTCCTGAAAAACAGAGGCAATTTAGAACTCCAGGCAAAATTACGCTTAGTTTAGAATCTGCCCAGTTTTCCATCATGGTCTACTCTGGTTCAAGGACTTACTTATTTCTTAAGTTCAGCCTCATAATGAACTGGAAAGAGGCTCATTATCTTAGTCATACCAGGGATGCATCCTTCTGGTGATGCGTTATTGCAACAGGGAAATGGGAATACACATGAACCACATGATGGGACATCATCATGCTTCCACTTCTCTATGTTGCTTCCACTTTCATCAGGAGCCCTGGTGGCACAGTGGTTAGAATGCAGTATTTTCTATGGACTAACTTTGTTCACAGTCTGAAGTTCAATCCTGACAGGCTCAAGACTGACTCAGCCTTCCATCCTTCCAAGGCTTGTAAAATGAGGACCCAGATTGTTGGGGGCTATATGCTGACTCTGTAAATTGCTTAGAGAGGACTGTAAAGTACTATGAAGCGGTATATAAGTCTAAGTCCTTTCGTTATCCCAAGCAATCTGATTGTGACGCACACTGTGGTCAAAGATACTCTCTGCTTCTACCCTTAAAGGCCAACAGTGTGGGGACTTGATAGTTGCAGCCAAGCTAATGATAGAGAAACAACCTGTTCTTCTTTCTTTCACCCAAGACAGGAACTTACACTCCAATCAACAGAATTACGAATCTCCCTCTCTGAGTCACTTCTTAAGGCGAATGTGGGGGTTGGCTGGGCTACCATGTGCTGGAGTCCTGACTTGGCAATGGCTTTTCTGAAAGACAAGAAGAGTGGCTGTAAGGGCATTTTGTTCACACAAAATAGATCGTATATTATTATATTTAAAACCTTGATGCTAAATAGGGTTTTTTTTTAAAAAAAGAAGAGTGCTCCACAGTCATGTATACCCAAACTGTTTAATTCAGTCAACATACTTTTGCTACTGGTTCAAAAGTCAGTACTTGGGGGAACAGAGAGCCCCCCCACTTCCTCTAATAAATGCCTAGCAATGTCATGCATTCTTGTGTCAGGAGTGTGACTTTACTAGCCCCATTCTCACTGCCAGGCAAGCAGCTATTGGCTTCATTGGTGCTACAACCAACTAGTATTAGAAAGTTTTCATTGGGTGCTGCAGCCAATCCATACAAGAAAGGCTTGTTCTGTGGGTGCTAGGAACATCCATGGCTGGAGAACCTTGCTTTATCAGCTCCTTTTTCTTGAATGACTGACTAGGCAGTTTAAAAACTATTCCACATTTATCTGAGTTACAGTATTTGCACAAGAATGGGTTGTTTGCGGTAAAAGCTAATTCTATTTCTCAACTGCTGTCTGAGCTATGGGGTTTCCACCATACACTTACTTTGTCCTTAATCAATTATAATAAGTGTGTTCTGTGAGCCCAATCCCAAGAAAAATTACTCCTGGGATAGAGGATAATCTTTCTCAAAAGGCTAGAGGGGGAAAAAAACCCTAATATATGCAATTACACAGGCTATAAGAACCTTGAGAAGATGAGCCAGAGTCCAATTTCCTATTGTTCCTCAAGCACAATTATTTAAAGTTGTTGAGGGGGGATGAACATAGTTTAAAAGCTAAAAACAATAGTTAACATTGCATGTGACTTTTAATTTCTAATTAGATTTTTTTTTCTACCCTTGTAGTTTTTCTACCCTTGTCTAGTCTATAACACCCAGCTAGCAGTCAATACTCATGCAACTCTGGGAATTGCAGTCCCACAACACCTGAAACTATTTACCAGAACAAGAAAATATTATGTAAAGCAAGGATAAAGGCAGCTAGTAAAATACTAGTCTCAGGAATGTCAGATTCAGATACTTATTTTATTGTGATTGGTCAGTTTAGTCTCTCATTAATGCACTCAACTCAAACTCTTTGGAAACAGAATTCAGTCTCCAACAGTAATGAATCTGATTGAGCATTCCTGCTGCCACAGCTTCTCCTCCCTACTCCCCTCCCCACCCCCATTACCTCCAGCCAAATGATTTTAAAACCACCTATAAGCCATACATACGTCAAAAGGGCATTGCAGCCTTCAGAGGAGTCACTGCCACAGCTGCTGAGGGCAGGATCCACTCCCAAGCATTTATGGGTACTCAGTGGCAGCCAACTGGTTCCGACAGGCACCTTCCACCTCCTGGCAGCCCTTTCAAAACTGCATGGCTGAAGTAAAGCACTTGGCTTGGGCGTTTCACCTGAGCATCGCCGCTGGTTGAAGTATCTGTAGCGGCCTTGAAGCCCGTAGGCTGCTCTGCTGTGCACAAATTCTGCAGGAAGGAGGTGGGAGGATCTGCGGCGCAGGTAATAAGGGTCTCGTAGGAAAGGTCTTAAATCGGGAATGTGTTGGATTGGGGGAATGGGATATAGTGAGCACTCAGTCTGCAGTTCCTTCTTTTCAAACTCTGCTCCTTCAGATCCTGAGGAGAGTGTTTCCTCACTCCAGTCACTGTCCACCATCCCATCTTTAGGGGACCCTGAGCTGGAGCTTTCAGTACAATGTGACTGTCTCCTTTCTTCTTCTTTGTACACTTGGATGAGACTGGCTAGCAGCAAAGAGGGCCCTATGAGATGAGTATCTATGGTGTGCACATGGCCCCCACGCTTCTTCTGGACAGAGAATCTAGGGCTCATGCAAGGGGTGGTGGTACTAGATCGCCTCCGGGAACACAACCTACGCTTGCGTGAGGAGCCCAAGCAAGACATCTCTTGCAGCTGAGCACTGGATCTGCGCCGGCGTTCCACAAGTATGGTAGAGGGCTGACCTACCACAGAACGCCGCCTTGCTCTGCTCGCAGGCAAGGCCACCACACTGGTGCGTTGGGGCCCTGATGATGCAATCTTCCTCCTGAAGTGCTTTTTGAAAAAGGATTCCATGGAGATTAGGGGCTGTTAACAAAAAAGTATATGTTTTAAATGTGGGGTTCACTCTTTCCATCTAACTCCCTAAAGTACTCCTGAATGTCTAATAATAGACACTTCCAGGCCTTCAGCTACAGCTCTTTAATGGTTACAAGCATTAATCAAATGTTTAAAGCCATATACAGCTCTGTGTCAAAGAGCCAGTCACCTGGAGTTCTAAAACTCTCCGAACTGTGCAATACCAAGAAACTGAGGCAACTAAACCATCCAGTTCACCATAAACACTAAGGGTGAAAGAAGCTAATTACCGAAAGAGCTCTGAGAAAAGGAAACTTAGTGGATACTGAAAATGAGAGAACTGTTCCATGCATGCTAATAACATTCAGATCATCTACATGTGGTTTTTTTTAGAATTTAGTGAGCAGATAAGCAGGAGGTTGAGGTGTCGGTAATTCTCATAGTGACAGATATGCTCATGTACCACAAATTTGGTCGTCCACTTTACACATAAAAAACAAAACAGATCCATATAAAATACAGTCTCTTGACCTTGCATCTAAACATATAATGAAAGCAGCAAAGTAACCTTCTCAACAGGAAAGCTGACTGGATTACATCCCTAACCCTAATTTTTAAAATTTCTACATTACCCATCTCATCTAAGTGACTCTAAGTGCTCTATAAACAACATCATAAAATAAAAACATGACTGAGCACAGTTGAAAAATAAAAGTCAAAGTTAAGAAGGCTAAAAAGTTAACAAGGCGGAAAGAGCACCTTCAACCATTCCCACGGTTGTGTGGCACTCTTAGACACACACCCCGCTACGCTATTTGGCAGAGCAAAGTCTTAATACTCTTCTGGAAGCCCAGGAGAGTGAGGGCTCACCTCACCCCTGGGAGTAAGATGATCCAAAGGGCAGAAGCAATGGCAGAGAGGCTTTCTTCCTAGATCCCATCAATCAAACCATCTAACTGGGTGTCTATGGAGATTTTCAGTCATCCAGATCATGGTTGTCCCAAAGACACTTTTTCAAGAGGCAACTGGATCTTCTGGTTTTTCTTTGAAGATGTTTTACTTCTCATCCAAGAGCTGAAGAAGCACCTTTGGGATGATCTGACGGGATGGGATGGATCAGATTAACAGAGTTGGAAGGGATCTTGTAGATCATCTAGTCCAACCCCCTGCCCAAGCAGAAGACCCTACATCCTTTCTGACAAATGGCAGTCCAATATCTTCTTGAAAGCCTCCAGTGATGAAGCTCCCACAACTTCTGAAGGCAAGCTGTTCCATTGGTTGATTGTTCTGTCAATCAACAATAATAATCAATAATTTCTCCTTATTTCTAGGTTGAATCTCTCCTTGATCAGTTTCCATCCATTATTCCTTGTCTGGCTTTCAGGTCCTTGGAAAATAGCTTGACTCCTTCCTCTCTGTGGTGGCCCCTCAAATATTAGAACACTACTATCATGTCTCCCCTGGTCCTTCTCTTCATTGACTAGCCATGCTCAGTTCCCGTAACTGTTCTTCATGTTTTACTCACCAGTCCCCTAATCATCCTGGTTGCTCTTCTCTGCACTTTTTCTAGAGTCTCAACATATTCTTTATTGTATGGTGACCAAAACTGGATGCAGTATTCTGGGTGTGGTCTTACTAGGGCTTTATAGAGTGGTATTAGTATCTCACTTAATCTTGATTGTATCCCTCTTAATGCAATTTCAAATTGCATTGGCTTTTTTGGCTGCCACCGCACACTGCTGGCTCATATTTAACTGGTTGTCTACTAAGACTCCAATTTATCTGTTGACATATTTAGGATGAGATGGTTCCTTAGGTAACCTGGTCCCATGTCACAAAGGGCTTTAAAGATGATCATCAATATTTTGAATTGGACCCAGAAGCAAACTGACACCCATTGCATTTGTGTAGTTTGTTTTTTTTTTTAATTTCCCTTCTCTTTTTTATTTTTTAATACCTTGGGCGAAATGGACAGAAATATATCAGCTGAATCAGTTTTATGCCTTTCAGCTGTCCAAGGAAAACCCAAATGTTTTCTGTTTAATGAAAAATAAAGCTCATTTTACAATGTTGATATAACTGAAGTAATCTGAGACAAACTGGAAATGGGGCAAAGCTGTAGCATGGGAAATCCGAGAAGCAACTGCCAAGATCCCTTGACAGTAAGGAAAGGAATAACAAGAATTCCAAACATTCAGACATATTCAATTATATAAATAGCTATTCCACAATGTATTAGAACATCACATTGTGGTCAAAATGGATGATTGTTCCTTCAGATTTCATGCATTTCTAAGTTTGAAAAATAGTACAAGTAGCAATTGGAGAATTCTCCAAGTGTATAAGCTTCTATTTTCAGAGGAATGCCTGTATGGAAAAAGGCAATTACTTTTCCATACTCCATACTTTATATTCCAAGTTTTAAAAGTTGTTTACCCACCTTTTATGTGTGTTAAAACTGCCACTTACACATTTTGAACTGAAAATGTGGACTATACATGACTATTTAGTCATGGAAAAAAAAATTATTATCCTTTGTTATTTGTACAATAGTTAATGTATTTAGAAAGTGTTCTTCTATCTACAGCTATGTTAGTAGACAATTTCTATTTCTGCTGTTCTCTGGTTTAAATCTAGTTGAGTATGTTTACCAGTAGTCCTTGTTTGGTGACTGCCTTATAGAGTAACCTTTCACAGTTATGATGGTGAAAAACCAATGGCATTTCACTCAATTCTAACTTTGTGATCAGTCCTCACATTTATGACCCTTATTTCAGCTTATGAAATAAGATCATAAGCATAGCTGTGGTTTCATTAATTACTACTTCACTTAATGACCGAGTTGCCAGTACCAGTTGTGGTTGCTCAACATGAACTATCTAGTGTTTGGAAAGGGGCGTTGGTCCTACCTGAGACGCACCTAGAATTTAGATAAAAGCAGGTGCTCTCAAATGCAGTGATTCTAAAATCACTGCATTTGAGAGCACCTGCTTTTATCTAAATTCTGGTAATTGTATACAAAACAAACTCCTAATATGTACAAAATGACACCTATATTTTCCTATTCTTGCTAATGATCAATACATGTGTTATGGAATAATAATGCTAGAATACAATCTATCCAGCTTCAAAACAGACGATAATCCACAAAAGTTTAAACCATAATAAACATTCAGTCTTTCAGAAAGTACAAGATTATTAATTGGTTTTATGGCAACACAGCTGTTTTCCTTGTTCACAAAACTGGTGATTAAAACTAACATTAAAAAAATATAAACTTGGAAGTAGAAATTTCCTTGTTGATTTTGTGCAACTGTCCAGCTGATATTAACGAAACTGTAAAAAACTGATAATCAAAACTCAGTTTAAAAATAAGCAATTTTAATAGGAAAAATGTTATCTATTTACCTTAAAAATAAAATTGATGCCTGGAATGCATAAAAATAAAATAAAATTTCTGGGAATGCGTAAAGCATGAGTTGAGATTGAGCATTAAAAAATAAAAATGAGTTTTAAAATGTCCAACGATTATTTCAGCAATCTCACTCTTGAGAACTGACAAAAGTTTGGCAATGTTCTGGAAGATATCAGGTATTAGACATTTTTATTAAAATTAAAAAATATATATTTTGTGGTTTTATGGAATTATGTAAGGGCATTCTGGGCAACTTAGTACCTTAGATACTACATTGTCCACTCATGGTTTGGAGTGTTTGGTATACATTTTTTAAAAAATCATCAGTAAATTAGAATGGGCAAAATTTTGAAGTTTAATTAGTATCCCCACAGTCATGTGATCAAAATTTGGGCACTTGAAAACCAGCATGTATTTATGATTGCATCATATTTATAATGGGGTCACGTGATCCCCATTTGTGTTTCAATGGGATAAGTGGATTCAAGTAACAACCATGGCAACCAGGGTCATAAAATTGGGTACAATTCACTTAACGACTACTTTGCTTATGAGTGGAAATTCTGGCCTTAACTGCAGTTGTAAATAGAGGACTTCCTGTGCCAGAAAAGAAAATTGGTCATTTTTATCTCCAGTTTTAAAAGGCAAATCAACATAACGTAGAGCTATGAAATACTTTGCTGGCCAGCTATTAGTTCTAAAGGGCAGAAGAAAAAAACAACACGTTTCTGGCCTCCAAGGGTCTCCAGGGGGGACGACGACAATGACGGTGAAGGCTATTTTCACCTTCCCCAGGCTCCAAGAAAGCTTCTGGAGCCTGGGGAGGGAGAAAAATGGGCCTTCCGGGCCCACCGGAAGTCGGGAAACGGGCTGTTTGCAAAACTGTAAACACAAATATATACTAAATATCAGCAATATCCTTAACATACCAGACCTACACATCATAGAAAAGTGGAACATGAATGTGTCCATAAAATCAGCAACAATGGGCATGACTTGAACGACCTTATTTAATCTGCCTGCTGGTCTTAACAGCAACATTCCAGATTGCATGAAAAGTGGGATACAGATAATGTTTATGCATTATACAATCAATCAAAATATACACACACACTGGTCTTATTTTCTTTTGGGCTTGAAAATAAGCTTATTTTCAGGCTTATTTTCAGGAAGGTCTTTTTTTTTTTTTTGACGTGCTTCTCATTTACAAACTGTATACCCATTTCTCTTATAAATGAGAATAAGGATGATTTTAATAAAATAAAAACTAAGATCTAGATAGCTAACTTTTTATGTAGACAACAGAAAGCAAAGCTGGAATGTCAACTAAACATAGTAGTTCAAAGATAAAACCATACTCTCTCTTTACTCTGGAATATTTATAATGCATACAAATCCACATTCATACGTCAATGGCAAATATATGGCCTTATTTACATGACGAATAAACAAGTGAAAAGTTTTCAGTGTGGGTGCTGGAATTAATGAGCGAAAGCCTTACGAAAAACAAGCAAGTCTTCCGTGTCAGCTTCCCATGAACAAGAGTTAGAATTCTTACCAAATTTTGCTACATCTGGTTGGCACAAAAAGAAAA